CAATAGATAATGGCAATAAAGAAAGTATAGAGTGTGTATGTAATATGAGTCAACTTATGCTATAGCATGACATTGTTGCGTTACAGTGCCGATAAATGAAACACGTAAAAGTGAGAAATCGAATCAGATTAAGAGAGAAAGAGAAATTAATTGGATATTGATTTTACTTCTTCCGGTAATTCGGTGACTGTTCTACCTTGATAATATTATTACAGACTATACGGTCATGCAATCCAAATCATTGGAACAAGCTGGTTGACTCATCGTCATATCATCACCTGACAAGACATTCTCGGTCATATCTCTCATCCTTGATACTATTACCCTTACATAGCCGCATTCACTTCCATCCTATGTTATCAGCATGTACAGTAAACTACGGTTATAACGAACTAAAAGGGACCACTAATTTTAGTTCGCAATAACCGTAGTTCGTTATAAGCATATATTCAGCATATATACAACAAATGGCTCGTTATATATAAGTTAAAATAAGTTCGTTATATCGGTCAGTTCGTTATAAACGTGTTCTTTATAAACGTAGTTTACTGTATTCTCAAACCACATTGCCTTAAGACCTGAATCAGGTCAAAGAGCATGACTATCAGTTTATTTTTGAAAAAAATAAAATGCAGTCTGATCTATTCAAATGATAAAACACGTATTTACAAAGGAACTTAAATGAAAAACTATAGGCTTGTTGACGCAGAGGTTGATCAAAATTGTCCTTTAATCTCTTAGTGGATCCGACCTGGGTGATATACATGATTCATAGCTTGTTGGCGTGCCATTCATATATCTATCAACAAGCAGGCTGCATTCCTATATCGTACACTATATGACTCATAAACTGACATTTGGAATATTCAGGAAAAGCACTTTTAAACATAGGATATGGTTTAAATATAAGGAAACTGCATGGTCGTTATACCACTTAACTAGGAGTGAGTGAGTGAGTGAGTGAGTGCGGGCGGGTATGAATGAGTGAGTGAGGTTTAACGCCGCTTTGAACCAGTTAGACGACTGGGCCACCCGTGCCCATCCGTCCTCCCCCCTCGGTATCTTGTGACTCGTACTGACTCTGTTAATGGTGCTATCAAATAAATTCATCAAACATAATGGATACTTTTAAAACTTTCCTGTTAATGCGTCAGCTGACACGATTAAAGTAAGTGATTACCAGAAAACAACAATGCATTCTTGAAAACGATGGAAAGTAGGACAGGGATTGCAAGCGGCGATGCCTGTCTCTTCCTTAAAGGAAACACCATTACATTATTAATCATCGGATAAACAAAAAAACAACAACATTTTGAAAGCGTAAAAGGAAGTTATCCACAATAGACCTTTGTTTGAAAGCGTATTCATTACTTGTAAAGCTTGCATAGTCCTAGATAATGTTTACTCGGTTTTTTAAAGAAACATAAAAAAGTCCTTTCGTATTCATGGAATAGTAAAAGCAAAAGTCAACCGTGGTTGCGCTTTATCAATGGATGGTTGTCAGGAAAACAGACTCAATTATATTTGTTCCATCTCAGTGAACATGTCATACGTCATTTCTGTCTGTCATACAGACCTTGAAACAAATATATCAATTACAGCCCATGCAAGTCTATAATAGTTGGCAAGTCTAGATTACTACAGTTTCAAAAAATGAAGTCTCCGGGCTCCTTTTTATTATAATTTATGTTATTAAGATAATTTAAAAACTGTTTTCTGTTAAATATGTTCAATTCAGAGACTAGATGTGAGGTGAAATTGGGTTTAACGTCGCGTCCAAGATTATTGCACTTATATAGCGACGTTCAGAGACTAGACGTTAGCATAACGTTAACGTCATTTCCATCATAGGCATACTGTAAAACACAAACCCGTCGGCACTCACATCGATTATATGTTAAAGACAATTTGGGATCCTAACGCATCTTAAAAATCCTTCAACTAAGATGACAATATCAGTGAATGAAACACGAGACAGGGCATATATACAAAACGCGGGCACTTCCATATTCGAATTATGTATATAGGGAGAAAAATATATTTGAATATGTTTACTTTCTATCTTGACGGACGTCTTCAAAATGAACATAGGTCTCTTGGTCGGACCAGATATTGCATATGAGCACTGTTTTATTCTGAAAAGTTATATTTGTCTTTTTCCATTCTCAGTAACAACACCACCGCCCCCGTACTACATCTAGAACAACGGCGATGTGTTGTGGCAGTCTCTGTCATCAGGTGTTCCTCGCGAACGGGGGTGTGTATTTCACGGTACGTGTATGTTTCGCCAAGAGCCAGAAACAGCTGTGCTGGACTGGGAGGGCGTGGCATGTCTTTAGACAATCTAGGTATCGTGCTTAGACAATTGTAACGCCCATGTATGATTTTTCTACAAAAAATGTCATTCAGTAGTATATAGTCAGTTGCATGATTTTTTAGACTCTTATTATTTTACCGCTTAAACGAGTTATGATCTCCACACATAAAAATGATGTCAACCACTAGATTGTCTGGTTCAGACTCTTATTTACAGACCGCCATCATATAGCTGGAATATTGCTGCGTTAAACAACAAACAAACATACATGAATGTAACAACTATAAACAATGACAACTATCAAGAATCTAAACTTATTATTTCTATTTGATTCATTAATTAATCATGATGACATTAATCAACTTGAATTTAAGAGAGCGATATATAAACGAACCAGGTGAGCTACGATTATGTAACCTGTTCCAGTCAGGAGCGGAAAAAGATGAAGACCACCTCCTCCTCAACTGCTCTCTCTACACCACCAGAAGATCAACATTTCCAACCCATGTCTTCAAAGGCAGCTCTGAGGGCGATACTATCACTGCTTAAAACTCCCACTGAATCCACCCCTGATTGTTCAGCCCTTATAGTCCGTTCAGTACACATATTTGAAAAGCAGCTCTCTGGGTAGGTTCCGCCACTTTGGTGTTGCCTTATACTACAACATTGTGTCTCATAAATATCATCACTGTTTAATATATCTGTGATTATGTTTAATGTGTTTCATTAGTTTCTGTACCCCTAGTAGGTGTATATGTAAAATACAATATATCCGGGGTTCGATCCCAGGCCGCGTCATACCAAAAGACGTTGAAAGATGGTACTTGTTGCTACCCTGCCTGGCGCTCGGCATTAAGGGGTTAAAACAGGAACTGGTCGGCTCGGAGTCAGTATACTGTGTCTGAGTGGGGTATTCATGTTAAACTGCCGCATGATATCTCAATGGGCTAGCACTATAAATCGGCATCAGTCCGACGTTAAACCCAATTTCACCTCACCTTATCGTATCTTAGCTTAATCATCGTGTAGCAACAGCAGACATGTTCTCAGAGAAAATAATACACAGTGTTAATTTCCTTTGAACTTGAACTGTGGTTCGCAGACATTTGAGATGACTACAACAATCCTTCAAATTCCGATGAATCACATTATTGACTGTGTTAGATGTTCTGTATTTCAGCGCAAATGTCGCTTAAATAATGCATTTAGCGATCAAGGCTCTATTGCGTTGTGTCAAATGAATGACAGTGTTTTAAATCGATCAGGCTGGCAGGTGAGTAAGAGCTTTGGCCGCACCTACCGTTACCAGCAGGACAAAACAAAAATGAAGGAAATCAAGAATTGTGAACTTCAACGAACGTTGTAGAACATTGTGGAGGTTTTCTGTGGGAGAGATGAGTCATCGTTATGTTGTCTGTCACCTCGGTGCACAGACCTTGTGACGTCACACTGACTCACGTGACCTTAGGGTTTCCCCTGTCGAGGGGCGGGACTGGAAGTGCTTGTTTGCATTGTCTCAGAACATGTGTGAAACAATTGCATCCTCGCTACTGTCTTATCTAGGAACAAAGTGCGACAAGTTCGCTCTTGAACAACACAGCCAATCGATGAGGAATTCCAAAGGGGGTTTTCCGTCAGAGGAATAATAAAACAGGGATTCCCTTGCCCGCATAGCTACACGTGCATGACCCTCGATTTAAAAAGTGCGTGTTACCATGGATACGTCGCGAGATGAATGAGTTGGAGGTATTATTTATTTAAGCTTGAAACAGGTCCACAGTGGTGGGAATTAGAACGGAGTTCCTTTTGTCTCAATGTCGATGATATAGATAAGAAATACATATGGCGATAGGGTCGGGACTCGATGTGTGTGATTTATTGCAAGTGTGTCGTATTGCAGGTTGTTGTTAACCTAAACAAGAGGGTTTATTGACAAAGCCGGGAGCCTACCCGTAGTGAATGTTAAGCATTTAAATCTCGTTCAAACATCGAAGGAACCGTTCAGTTGAGGGTTGGTTGCTAGGGATCCAGGCACTATCACAGTGTGTCGTACTTGTTCATACTAATTGTATTATGAATACATGAGGTGGTGTAAAGTGTTTTGAAAAAGGATATTGTTGATTGTTGATTAATGTACAAGTTAGATAAGCTGATTGTGTTGTACACAATAGGCTCTTCTCGGTGAAACGGGAGAGCGACACCCATTCTACTACTAATGTTGAGATCACTACTACTACTACTACTACTACTACTACTACTACTACTACTACTTCTATTACTACCACCACCATCACCACCACTACTACTACTACGTCTCATATTGCTTCTCCTACTACATATACTGATGCTGCTGCTACTACTACTCCTACTACTTCAGTTGTCACTACTACTACTACTACTACTACTACTACTACTACTACTACTGCTGCTGCTGCTGCTGCTGCTGCTACTACTACTACATTTATCATTACTAGATCTACTACTTCAACGGCACACTATTGCTACTACTACCACTACTACTATTTCCACTCAACACGAGACATGAACTACCCCGGTCAAGTGCTATCGCTGTAAATGTACAACAATCAACAATATCTAATCATAAAGTGTCATGTATCGTGCTTGAACATGTCATATTTGCTCTCATACCCAGCTGACAACTGAATGAATAACGCTGTCCTACCTGCAGCCAATCTCCGGCCGAAGATATTGTCCTTCTTTCCCTTGAGTTTGAGCAGACAGTCCAGTCCACTCTGCGAGTTGACCACCTCCCTGACACACATAGCACACTCCATCCGTAGCACCATGTCGGACAAACTGACCCCCTTAAAACTCGACAGGTTCTTCAGACACTGAAACAACAACCCCAATCCGTCAAACTCTAGAAACTCCCTCATCCAGTCGCGGTCATTGGACTTAATGGCCTTTCTAAGTTTGGCCAAGTTTTGGACAGTTGGGTTCCGTATCCATAGCAGGAACTGGAGAGAATCCGAATCCAGTTTGGAACCTTCGTTGTCTTCATCATCCGAATTGGCAAGATCAAGCCCCAAAACAAAGCCATCGGATCGGGCTCTCTTCCCTCGTTGTTTCTTGCGTTTAGCTGCCGCGAATCGCGTTGACCTTTGTACAGGTGGTGAGGTTGTGTCCCCGTTCATGATGACGGGTATTCCGAATGAATAGAGTCCACAATATCCAGGAGAGAAATAACACACTATATTCACTTGGATTACAAGCAACGAGACTCCCGTCGCTCAGACCGTGAGTTGTCCATCTGTCAGCCACATGCTAGAGCGAGCAGTGTAGCGACGAGTTGCTTCCGCAGCCTCGCAGCAACTGGTCCGACTGAAGTCAGCTCTCACAAGCTATAAGGAGAAATTGTAATCAAATCCTCGCGTACAACCACCTCACTTCTCCTGTATCGTCGGCGGGCTGCACTCTCGCTGACTCCTGAAACACGTCAGACTGAATATAAATGCTCGTCCGTCTCTGATTAGCGGTAAACTGTTTCTAAACTTCTCTTGTTTACCTACTGTCTTTAACAGTTTGCCGGACAAATACTTGCACACTGTACATACTGACAGTCGGTTCGACCAGCCCACAGAGAGTATTATCCACTTTGTGGATATATTTTGTTTCTCTTCACGCTTCAGTACATAGATCGAACTGCGTCTGTCCTACATGTCATGCCTATATATATGCAGCGATAAAAAACAACTTTCAATCGATAATGTACCTACCCAAAGACGTATATACGTCTTTGACCCACCCGAAGAACGCGGGAGTTCAGGTTGTGGGAGGCTTTGTTAATGTTTTGCTTTTATGGTCTATTGGTTGCATTGACATTCATTTACCTGCCAACACTGCTTTATGCCACCAGACACCATATAATAGATTACATGGTCTCTGGGTGAAGGCAGTATAGTGTTATTTTATAAATGGCCAGCGAGATAGTCTCGTGTGTACTGTGGGTGAAGGGGGCCAGTGATCTTAGCGCTAAGGTGATCGTGACTCTCATACTTTAACATAGACTTACGATTGTCGTAGCTCTAAGATCGCCTTGTGGAACAGAAGCGCTAATGTAAGAATGCCTGTTGGTTGTCATGGGATTGTCCACACAGCCACAACCCGTCCCCACACACGTAGCCTGCCCTAGCCGACCCAAATATTCAGGCAGTATGCCCTCACCCCACCTGTATTGTCCTAACCTACCCTGCACCGAGCCCTTCTTGACAGACTTACCCCCACCTCATTTACACCCACTTCCCCACCCCCACCGACACCCATCTGTTCTAATCATGTGACTTCTAACCTTGTATGATTGACCTATAGAGACTCACCTCCTAAAGACGATCACTTGACCGGCAGCGAGTGCATGACGCCGAGCCTGATAGCGGGCGGTGTGATGTGAATGTACAGTTAGTGTCCGTACTATCTATATAAATAAATATATATATATAGCAATGTGGCGTCAGCGTCGACCTTGTAAACACTCATGTTCCCAGACATACAATCCCATACCAACATGCAAGAACAAAGGCGGAATCAGAAACCAGTTTTTAATAACTTTCACAAAGAATCCTTTGAAATCTGTGTGTCAGATACCGACACTATTTAACAAAGCAAAATATTTCCTTTTGAATAATAGGGGTGTTCAGCATTAGCTGTTATACCCTTTTATCCTTCACAGCACAGGGACAACAATTATGTCAATTTCAGACGGAATAATATTTGAATATTTCCGACCCGCCAAGCTGACATGCATGCTCGTTCTACCTGTTCAATAGATCTCTTTATCACCCAGTCATCATGGAAGAGATTTACATTCGAGTGTTGATATATTTGATATCAAAAGCCACGAGGGTGAGATTTTGATTTATTATCCAAACATCACTATTCCAACTGTTTCAGTTTGTAGACAGTAATAAGCAGTGTCTTAAGTGTAAAGAGTACTGCTAACAGCTTCAACAGCTGAGCCATTAGTAACAATGACGTCACAATGGTCTGCAAAGCATTGTAATGTAATTTCATTGCAGCGATATCTACAATGTATATTGTATAATGTAGATATCGCTTATACAATGTAGATATCGCTTGATTTCACCCAAGCGATATCTCCTGTGGGGGCCAGTTTGGGATGATAAACATATATTTCTCAAAATGTGCAATGACAATTCAAATTAAGCAGCAATATTGTTATCGTTCTTCTCTTCAAATTCCACCAATAGGAGCATATTTAAAATAATAATATATCATTCAACATCAAAACAACTTACGATAAGAGCTTGCTTAATTTCCTTAAGGGGTAACCACTGCATGCTGAATTAGGCTGTGCATTCGGTACTGACTTCAATTTAGCATGTTTAAATCTCAAAGTAGCCCAGCTCTACGTTGCAAACGTATTTAAAGCAGTATTTATCGCCTACACAAACACTACTAATTTTTATTTATTCATTAATTTTTTTAGACTTGTGTCACTTTTTTAAAATTTTATTTTTTATTGTTCCCAGATTTGGAGATTAATACAGTATTCCGTCAAAAACATATTTCGGATAGCATAGAATGGCACAATACATTCATTAAAAAATTAAAGGGTTGGACAAACACACACTACTTATTGCTTGCGTTACCGGTGGTGCCGTTGTTGACGCTGCTACTACTTGCGATATTCTCACTAAAGTGAAAAATTATTACCTATTTGCACATATTTGAAATTCAATTCGAGATATCTAGATATTTGTAAGACCCTCTGCATGTCCAAACCGGGTTCAAACGTAATTTCCGACCATAATGCATTAGGGGCTAGTCACGTGACCCCTTTTGGAAACCATACCATGTGTTAAAGATATATTGAAAGCTCTTGGAAATGTGCATTCCACAGTGTCACTAAAATATATAAAAACTACCAAAATCATGACTTTATAGCCATTTGAACTTATAAGTAAAATACAGTTTCGTTTTTAACTGTCTATCAGTAACCCCTTATACTTCAAGACCAATGTCGAAAACCCCTAACAGTCTGGTATCTACAAAGAGAAGACCTTGGGTAGTAATCTCAATACAGACAAAGAAAGGCCAAGGGGTGTTAGTACAAAGAGCAAAGCATATAGTCCACGCGCATATATTTAAACTGTGCGCAGAACGTTTTCCAAAGTTACTTAATATTAGACATCCTAAGGGTTTTATTGACCTATTCCAATGGAATCATCAGGGTAATTCCGATACGACCCATATTCGAAAATATTTGTTGTAACCCCCAGCTGTTACTAACGATATGTTTATAACAAGGTTACAAGAGTAGTCCCCCTTGGTTTTACCAACATAGTATGCCACATTTTGTCATTTTCAGATGTTTTGTTGGTTTGTTTAACGCCGCACTAAGCAATATTCCAGCTATATGATTGCGGTGTGTAAATAATCGAGTCTGGACCAGACAATCCAGTGATTGATACCATTAGCATCGATCTACTTTGGGATACGATGACATGCATCAACCAAGTCAGCAAGCCTGACCACCCGATTCCGTTAGTCGGCTCTTAGGACAAGCTTAGTCGCCTATTATGGCAAGCATGGGTTATTTAACTAGCAGGTTTTCAATATTGATTGTAATCATTTTATCTGCATGTAGTTATGCTCAACTTGTTAAAGTTGCCAGAACCCCTTCGCAGTACCAGAAAGTCTATCTTTTATAGACTCTGGTAGTACCTCCATGGCTGCAAACATTGACTAGTCGCATGGGTCAAGATTCTTAATAGGAGCATGCTCGTGTTATACACCATGGCAACAGTGTTTCAGCCAATCAGCGGCCCGTGGAATGTGCACGTGGACGTCACAGCCACATTTGCATAGTTGAAGTGCTTACCGTAAATTCTCAAATAGAGAACCGTATAATATGAAAGTTTTAGGCATCAAAATGTTTGCTCTAATGCCTGAGCAGGTTATCGAGATTCACCATATTTTATATCCTCCCGAAAGTCTTTATCCCACGTTATTCAAAGATTTTGGCTGCCAGGCCCTACATCCTACTCAACCAAACCTCCCAATTATCAGACGGCCCCTTTGTCGTACGGCTTATACCGAGACTACCTGTTTACCTCAGTCTAAAGTGGAACAGCCCTACACAAATGACAGAACCAAAATAACGTGTTTGGAGGAAATATTTATTATATATTTATATTACTAACAAATTTAAACATAATATAAAACATGTTTCATTAATGTGACAGAATTTTCATATTATCATATCATTATCAACATATTCATCAATATGAATCACAGTTCATAACAAATCGGTCCTTTAACAGTTGACAGCTTCAGCAAATGTCCAAATGCGAATGTGCAATTGTGCACTGTGTCGGATTCTTGTGGGCATCTCAGCTGCTCAACGGGAACACACCAGGGTCCACTTGCACAAAACGATCTTAGCGCTAAGACTATTGTAAGCCCATGTTAAAGTATGGGAGTTAAGATCATCTTAGCGCTACGATCGCTTTGTGCAAGTGGGCCCAGGATCTCCTCATATTCACCGTCTACACAGAGCAGGAATCTTCTGTCATCCTTGGTAGTGGCCCACTGCCCATCAACGTCTTCTGGCGTCTGGCGTCTGGCGTCTGCATTGTAGATCGCCTGGAGTGAATACTGACAGACTACATTGCACGTGGGATCATACTCATGTTATGGAGAAGTAAAACTCTTTAATGCGTTCATATTCGTTCTAAAATTATATTCAGCGAAAGGTCCGGGGTTCGATCCCCGACCGCGTCATACCAAAAGACGTTTAAAGATGGTACTTGTTTCCCTGTGAGTTGGGTACACATATCCATTGTGAGTTTTAGTAGTGATAAAGTTTCGGTTTTGTATGTAAATTGACTGCAAGATGGGCATACCTTGTCACAGTGCTTTTTGTGACCGAGTCTGAAGCGTGAGATGGCTGCATCAGCTCTCCTTTCGTTCGAGTATGAGTTTGGCTTTTGGTGGATCTTGGGTTGAATTTTGTATAGCCATCTGCCGATCCTACTTGCGTCCCACTGGGCTTGCCATCTTTGGGTTATGGAGGCTTTGATTTTGCTTTTTGTGAAAGAAATTTCATCGTATTTTTGTGATATTTCAGCCATGTAAGATCGAGCTGTTTGTCTACAATAAGGGATATGGTATTCCATATAAGGGAAAATATATTCATTCTAAAATCTGTGCATGATTATTTCACCAAAACGAATCGCTTATCGGAACAATATGTACTAGTATATAAAGGAATATGACGTGTTATATGGAAATGCTACAACATCTACCGGTACTAACCTTGCTATTGTACAATCTGTCCATTGTAAAATCTAAATATTTCTTCTTTACGATCACATCAGTCAAATAGTTGTTTGGATGTGTGATATGCTAGTATGCTGTTTGTTTATATACTGATATATGTATGTGTGTATGTGTGTATTTGTGTGTGACTTGTATATTCGAATCACAATATTTGCAACAATAGGTACAATTAATCTAAAGTTATTACTTTATGTACAGTTTACTCTTATTAATTGTTAAATATCCTTTGTATGGAGAGGTGTTTAAATAAGTTTAACCTGTTCACCAATCCCATTCCTTTTTCTTGGAAATAAATATTGTTTAAATCATATACGTGTATATGTATTTATTTATAATTGTCTACAGTGTGATGTTCTGAAAAAGTGTATCATTCATGTGTGTACTGAAGAGGTTTCAAGCAGGCATTAAGCCAATTCATTCATGGACATAAAATACTGATTTAACTAAACAGTGTTCAGGAAATCTGGTAGTCCAGCAAAAAAAATTTTTGGGCATCATTTAGAAAATGTTATTTCAAAAAATAAAATCCAAGACTACCCTCCCCATCCTTCTCCCTCTTAGCCCTGCATTAGAAAATGAAATGGTCCACCCCTCAGATGTGCAAAAGAGTATCTGTATATATTGAGGGTAGTAACAAACTAATATCCATCTCAGAATATCCGGAGACTCGTGGCGACAATGAGACACTTCATACAACACAGCATCCAAAATCTGATGAAGACTTACTTGCTCTATGTAAAGCTAAATGGATGAACAACTTCTTTATTACATTTATCTTATCCCTACTTACTACTTCAACTTCAAAATGCCTCCCAGGGACGTAACGTGCTCTTTGACAGTATATTGACAACAACGCACATCCCGATACGCTCTCCAAAAATATCTTTTTATAATCCAGATATTGAAGCGCCCGTAAAAGGTGAACTTTTTACGTTGACAACAGTGTCGTGATTTAGATGAATATTTACACAACGTAAAAGCACAAGTGCCTCAGTCAGGAATTCATTGTTAAAGACACCTGGCCCAATATCTCTGTTAGTTCCCACCACGCGAATTCGATATGTAACGGTTCAGGGGATGGGTATTGGGGTACAGCTTTGGGTAGCGAATTGTGGATCACTCCCAATACTAACCACACAGTTTTAATTATTTAACTTTTTAATAATAATTTCACAATTAAGAATTGCACAATTATATTTATTACATTACAAGAATATAATTATTCTTTTCAGTATTTCATTCAGTGGTTAGGAAAATGTACAATAAATATAAAATACTTGAATGTCAACTCACATATCTCGGCTCGAACCGGCTATCACTCTCTCGTCTCAGAAAATCTACAACCGATCAAACTGTCAACAAAGTGACGTCATACCGGAAGTAATCTCTCGCACGAGGATACGGTCGGTGGAACGTGCACTCCACCAGTGACAGAAGTTATTTTACTTCGTGTCACGGCTATGTAGTAATATACAACGCAATTAGATGCAATTACTAGATGCAATTTTTTAGCCATACAAGGCAGATTTAAGCCATTATGCTACAAGAAGTAGTTTCGTGGAACAGACTCACGAATATAGGTGACGACACACGAACTATCACGTTGCCAAATCGAAACAGGTGATTTAGAACGTGTTTACATTTTGTTTTTGCACATTAAACAAACAGTCAGTAAGATCAGTAGTGCTATACGTTAATTCATGTAGCAATAACGTATATCTTTACGGTAGTATGCTGTATCACATACAACATGTACAATATGATTCATCTCACTGTCTACTGACCGCAATATACAAAAGGCTTGTACATTGCAATGGCCAATACATTATTTGACCAGCTGAAGACTGAAAACGTCTTTGAGGATAAGACATGTGGATGACCAACTTCTTTATTACAATTAGGAGCGACGTTTTTGGTGAAGGTTCTAACACCGTTAACAAGCAAGTAAAGTGCAGAGTATGCTTGAGGAGCATACAGTAGTATACAAGTTTGAGGTACCTTTTGCTTACCATGAACCCATCAAAGATTACAGTCGTAATCCTCTTGTTTGAACTACTGGCTTCGCCTGTAAGGACTTTTTTTTACCGTATTTCACATGTCTTGTGTACGTAACAGGCCTCTCCACTCTACTGTAACCACACCCCAATCTAATCAACTGTATAACCTCTACCTCATACATGTAGATACGCTTCTCACCCATACTCTGTACTTCATTGGTACCACTTCACTTGCTTGCTAACGATGTTAGAACCTAGACCGAAACGTCGCCCCATAATGTAATAAAGAGTGAGTGAGTATGGTTTTACCCCGCTTTTAGCAATACCACGGCGGGGGACACCAGAAATGGGCTTCACACATTGTACCCATGTCGGGAATCGAACCCGGGTCTTCGGCGTGACGAGCGAACGCTGTAATAAAAAACGTACTTTCATTGACAGCGTCTTTCGTACATCATGTATAGAAAGAAACTTGCTAGCATTTTGTGTCCGTTTTCCATAGCGTTAATTTTATGGAACTTGACATCACTGCCGAAAAGACAAGCGTAAGAGTACAGCCCAATTAGCACGCTTACATTAACATGATTAATTCGTTTAACTAAACCAGTCTGAGCGGTCTTCACGTGCTGACATGTCAATTCGCTCGAGACTCATTGTTTTAAGCCAGACAGCTCAAGACACGTTCCTTAATGCGAGTATTCAACAAACAGCTCACTCCAAGCTGAAGTCGTAATTAAGTGCCCGTGCTGAGACAAGGATCTTTATAAGGACAGCAACAACTGCTCAAGTCATTCACTTCAGTTTAAAGTTTTAAAGGACCGTTTTATATTACTTTAGTTAAAATGAATGTTACTTCTGTTTTATTGATACTTATTTGCGTGGGTTTCACTTCCTCTCATCAACATGGCCCCCCCGGTGGGAGACGAAGAAGCGGCGGAAGAAAAGACAGACGTTATGGGATGAAATTCGGGAGACTACAGCGCGAGGTTTGTACTTGAATTCACTTCTGGGTCCCTTTGTATTTTAACCTTTGAAAATGTATGAAACTTTATTTCATGCTTTCACACACACGTATCTCTGTAATGTGTTGTTTAGTTTTATTTATAAAATGAATCGTGTGTAATGATGTGTTCTTTGGGAGTGTGTGATATTTGACGCAGTAAAAGACTAAGTATATACTTTGGGGGCCGAAATCAGTTTCATCAGAACCGCTCGTACAATCTCCATCGTCATCATCATCAAGTGAGTGACTGAGTGAGTGTGGTTTTACGCCGTTTTTAGCAATATTCCAGCAATATCACTGCGGGGGACACTAGAAATGGGCTTCACACATTGTACCCATGTCGGGAATCGAACCCGGGTCTTCGGCGTGACGAGCGAACGCTTTAACCACTAGGCTACCCGACCGCCCCATCATCATCAAGTATTTTCTCATTACGGATGAATGTAAATGACCACCTTTGATGTATTTATATTCACACGTGTTTTTATACTTTATATATTATATGTTTACATGTACTCAGACGTTCTACAAACAACCAGGGGCACGGGTGGCCCAGTTGCGTCCCTTGGGCATGCCAGAAACCCATGATTGTGGGTTCGAATCCCGGTGCGCCCCGATTATGTTTCTAGGTTTGTCAGCACCATACCCGTGCTCGTGGGTTTCGTAAAGTGCTAAACGCCTAAAACTTGCATCACTTCGGACTCTCCTCCCACATTAACCTGATATAACTGGAATATTGTTGAAAGCGGCGTTAAACCCAACTCACTCACTCAGTCCGTGGGCCATCAAGTCGGATATTGCATATTTATGACTTTTTGTTGTTGCTTTGTCTGTCGTCCAATATGTGACTCGGATATGTCGAGTGAGTGAGTATAGTTTTACGCCGCTTATTCCAGCAATATAACGGCGGGGGACACCATAAATGGGCTTCACACATTGTAACCATGTCGGGAATCGAACCCGCGTCTTCGGCATGACGAGCGAACGCTTTAACCACTAGGCTACCCGACCGCCCCCGGATATGTCGAAGTGAACACGCGACAAATCGCGTACCAAATCTTCGACGATAGGCAAATATCAACTAAATATCCTCGCTGGTGTTACGATTCATGTAAAAAGACCTTGAAATCTTTCTTGTCAGACTGGGTTACTTTCACGAGGCTTATGTTTCTCTCTCTTCACAGCACGGCAGCGCGGGGGGCTTGTACAACTGGACTCGTCAAGTCACTGAGGACGTCACGGTTACGGAGAGAGCGTATGTCATCAGAGCGACCAAAACAATTTATCTCAAGTCAAAGGACAGATTGCTAGAAAACGTCAATATACAGGGATCTTCCTCGGTGTACGACTACAAGAATGTAAACAATGTAAGAATGTAGCAGGTTTTCTTCCTCCTGGCCTTGGTGGTTTGCAAACATGAAGTATGATCGTGCTGTGCTGTGCTGTGTTTTGCTGTGCTGTGCTGTGTATTGTTTTGCTGTGCTGTGTGCTGTGCTGTGCTGTGCTCTGTGCTGGGCCAACCTCCCATTCTGAAACGTGTAGAGGTCGAGGCTTCAATTACCGTATTGACTACATTTGGTCGTTTGTTACTTATATATTAGACACGCGAAGATCCGTGTTAGAAATGGTCTTCAGCAACCCATGCTTTTCGTAAGGGGCGACTAACGGGATCGGGTGGTCAGGCTCGCTGACTTGGTTGATGTATGTCATCGTATCCCAAATGTGTAGATTGATGGTTATAATGGCAGTCATTGGATTGTCTGGTCTCTCCTTCATATAGTTGGAATATTGCTGATTGCGGCGTTAATCAACAAACAAACTGATGTATTTATCTAATTCATAACCAACTGATAACCTAATTAGCCAATTGTGTCAATATTCACGAAAGACTCGACAGCGTCTTGAGGGCAAAGGGCTCACGATGAACTCACATGTATATCTTACGGGATATTCTTGGCAAGGATAGTCTCCGCTTGGCCATGTCTTAAAAGATCAATTGAGGATCGGTTGTCCAAAATGTGTGACCTGTTTTGGGCGTCATCACAATTCTAGACTAACACTTAGTCTCTGAAAATATATATTTTTGGTAGAAATGAATTACTCCATTTAAATTGAAAATGAGCCCCACTGAGATGGGAGATTGTGAGGGAAATCTAGACTTGCTTCGTTTAGGGCTTCAGCATTACAGAAAAGGCTGGGCAGAAGGAAAAATAACATGTTTCGGGGATTGTGGGACAGGCTATCACAACCTGGCAAAGAGGATCAATGCTCATCAACCTCTATTGTGTTTGCCCAAACTCGGTTAACACACTGCAGTGATATTAGGAATTATGATTACGGCTTTAAATAACACTCACCCGCCCACTCACTCCAACCCCTCTGTTTACAGAAGCAGGCTGCCGTGAAGCTCCGACTGAACGGGGGGAAGTTTTGTTTCCTCATCCCGGGGTCCATCTTCCATCATGGGTTTAAGTTTTCGGTCCATGACATCACGAGGCGAAATGTAGGTAGCATTTATTAATTTAACATAACTAATTAATTCAATGATGTTTATGATTTTAGTTAATTTTAGTTGGCTATAATTGTTTATGTAAATAATTGAATTAAAGACTAAATAGTATTCTTAATAGCTTTTGCAGACAATTTCATCCGGATGTTCAGTTATAGGGCGGTTTGCTTCCGGTTAAACGGTGTTTCGCTCTGTACAACTGACAGATCACGAACAATTCTTCGAGGTTTTCTTGGGAACCATTTAAGCGAAATGATAGTTGCATAGGGATTCATGTTTCGACAAAGCAACATAATAAAATCGTTTATTTTCCAGGTGGTCTCGCCTACAGTGAAGGTTGAAGATTTCATCATGACTGGAGTCGGTCCGATGACGCGCCAGGATGTCAAGACACTCAGTACCACGCACCCGACATTGTCGAAGTTCTGTAGTCGCTCTCGCGACGATCGCGTTGTTGACATTGTAGACGCAAGGACTGTGGTGCATGCGGGTAATTATTCTTCTTATTATTTATTTGTATTTTATTTTGGAGAAGACAACTTATCCTGCCAAGTTTACCTTTAATCTTTGGTCTCTTTTGTATCAAAATGTGTATAGAAGTTTAAGCAAGCACGTATTCAAGCTGAAAATCCTATTGATTTATCTTCTGTAACAAATGAACAAATGTTATATTATTGACGTGTTTAGCGTCACGGTTGATCTATGGTATTGAAATATTCACAATAACAGCCGATCTTGGTAACTGAAGTATCTACCGTAATGGTTGAACTATTTTACTGAATTATGCAACATAACGGTTGAACTATATTATTGAATTATGCAACGTAATGGCTGAACTATATAATTGAATTATGCAACGTAATGGTTGAATTATATTATTGAATTATGCAACGTATTGGCTGAACTATATTATTGAATTATGCAACGTAAAGGTTGAACTATATTATTGAATTATGCAACGTAACGGTTGAACTATATTGTTGAATTATGCAACGTAATGGTTGAACTATATTACTGAATAATACAATGTAACGGTTGAACTATTATTTATATTATTCAAGTATCTGCTGTAAGTACCCGCCTATATTTTCCTTGTAAACCAGAGTATAACCAGTTACTACATTGTAGTAGGATATAGCGAATAGGTGGTTGTAACGAACCAATTTTCAGTATCCAAGGACTGGTATTTGATACTATTATATATTCATGGCCATAACGAACTGATTTTGAACTGATGCGGAGTTGACTGTTATTGATTATGTCAGTTACGCACGTATTGATCACACTGAACCATTATCGGATATGTAATATGACCACACCAGGACACGGGTACGTTAAAATCTAAGGGACATAACTCTAAATCTGCACGTGTTATCTTTCAGACACAGATCTTACCGGAGCTGTTCCAATAACGGTGCTGACGCTCGGAGGCAAGGTCACCATCTACATCAAGCCGTCACTTAACATTGACTGATCCCACAACTCATCCCGAACATGGGTTATCCCCCTTTGTAACGTCATTTCTCCCCACAATATAGCAAAACAGTAAAATAGATTCGTTGTTTTCAAGTATCGACATCTTCTGCTGATGTCTAGCATCTGTAGATTTCTGATGCAAAATGGAAGTTTTACCCAAAAAGAAATCTACATATGTGATAATATAAGTTGACATACAAGCTGTTATTTCCTGAATGTATTTTATATGCATTGTCCAGATTTTATATTGAAACCTGTCAGATATATATTTTACGTTATATTTTGATAAATCATATTCACGTACTGGTATTTCACGTTTTGTGTTGTTTATTGTAGTGGAAGAAATATGCGCTGTTCAATACATTATCTGTGTGTCATCTAGTATCAGAGGCGTGTATTCGCGAAGACATTCCACATAATATCTGTATTTATCGAACGCACGCACGCAAGCACACACACGGTTATAAAGAACCCCAAGGGACTGTTGAAAAGTTCAGGATGTGGTGACAAGCATAGTCGCCTTCTTTTGGTAAGACGCGGTCAGGTAACCGAACCATCAACCTTCCGCTCTCGGGCCTGACGCTCTACCTCTGGACCACGGAGGCGGTCTAAACATGGACAGATGGAAGACAGAAAATGAACATGTCGAAAATGCATAGATGTTTATTTGTGTAAGAAACTACACGCAGTGGTCGACTGGCTGTTCAACACTTTTATCGACTAGAAAAATAGAAATAGTTTTTAAGCAACTCTGCAGATTTTTAATGTAGACTGAGAGTCCACGTTTTATCCGCTAATATCGAAACCATTTCAATACCCGGCAACACCACTCAGCAATATTCAGTTGGTTTATAAACACACGGTTCCCGTTCCACAGAGCGGCCTTAGCTGTTGTAAATCAATGTTGAAGTATGTGTGCGAGCTACGGCCTTAGCTCTACGACTGTCGTCATTCAATGTTGAAGTATGTGTGCGAGTTACGGCCTTAGCGCTACGACTGTCGTCATTTAATGTTGAAGTATGTGTGCGAGCTACGGCCCTAGTGTTACGACTGTCGTCATTCAATGTTGAAGTATGTGTGCGAGTTACGGCCTTAGCGCTACGACTGTCGTCATTTAATGTTGAAGTATGTGTGCGAGTTACGGCCTTAGCGCTACGACTGTCGTCATTCAATGTTGAAGTATGTGTGCGAGTTACGGCCTTAGCTCTACGACTGTCGTCATTTAATGTTGAAGTATGCGTGCGAGTTACGGCCTTAGCGCTACGACTGTCGTCATTTAATGTTGAAGTATGTGTGCGAGTTACGGCCTTAGCGCTACGACTGTCGTCATTTAATGTTGAAGTATGTGTGCGAGTTACGGCCTTAGCTCTACGACTGTCGTCATTTAATGTTGAAGTATGTGTGCGAGTTACGGCCTTAGTGCTACGACTGTCGTCATTCAATGTTGAAGTATGTGTGCGAGATACGGCCTTAGCTCTACGACTGTCGTCATTCAATGTTGAAGTATGTGTGCGAGTTACGGCCTTAGTTCTACGACTGTCGTCATTCAATGTTGAAGTATGTGTGCGAGTTACGGCCTTAGCTCTACGACTGTCGTCATTCAATGTTGAAGTATGTGTGCGTGTTACGGCCTTAGCGCTACGACTCATGTGTGGAATGGGACCCTCAACAGTTCCGATCACTGAAACTTCCGTCGGGATTAAGCACATTCTGGATGAAGAAACCTAGGATACATTGTAATGGCTCTTGCATCACACACACCTGGAGAATAATTATGCACCACTTTCCATATACTTATGAAACAGCAATTTTAAAAAAATCGTATGCCTTAATTATTTTCTTACGAATAAGAAAAATACCCTTTACAAAGTGACACTCTCATGTTGAAATACAGAAACCAGAGTGAGTGAGTTTGATTTTACGCCGCTTTTAGCAATATTCCAGAAATATCACGGCGGGGGAACCAGAAATGGGCTTCACACATTGTACCTATGTCGGGAATCTTTAACCACTAGGCTACCCGACCGCCACTAAAGATACCAGAGGCTTTTATGAAATAACAAGTTTTTTAACTGTTCCATGGCAATATTTACTCCACTACTCTTTGCCTCCTCTGCTTCATTGCATCCTGTGACATGGCTCACTACTTGTGACTATCGGGGAGACATTCAATGTTTTTGTGCTCACGTTTCAGCTGATACCATGTCATCTCGGACATTTATCGAAATGAAATCAGTGTCGTGTATTTGCAAAGGATACATTTATCGGGAGATTTGAAAATAAACAAATCTATTCTCCAGGTGTATGCATCTACTTAAAAAGTAACCGTCCAGAATATGGGGTTTCCGCACTATCAGGAATTCTCAAATGAGCTGAAAATAGCAATCCAGACACAAGACAAGCTTTACCTCAATGGATGTACGCGTACACTACTATTGGGTGAAAGCCTTTGATAGGATATTGATTACAAATAGTCGCGTTACCGTAGTAAAGAGTGAGTGAGTATGGTTTTACACCGCTTTTAGCAATATTCTAGCAATATCACGGCGAGGGACACCAGAAATGGGCTTCACACATTGTACCCATGTCGGGAATCGAACCCGGGTCTTAGGCGTGACGAGGGAACGCTTTAACCACTAGGGTACCCGACCGCCCCCGTAGTAAAGAACATGATGTCTCACCAGTAAAGACATATTGTGACCACTGTAGTGTGATACGCCGTTAGTGAAGAAACCCTTATTGACGATCATTTCCATTTTCGTTAATGCGAACGATTAACCTTGGGACGTGGACGTCAGGATTATCATTGGAACGTGAACGTCAGGATTAACATTGAAACGTAGACATCAGGATTATCCTTGGAACGTAGACATTAGGATTAACGCCTCTTCACTACATATACAACATAATAACTACATTGCAAGTGATCACAAGATACTCATCCCTGATTTTTTATTCCATCCTCGGCGATCAGGGTTCATTTTACACAGACTGTGATATGTACCCTGGGTGCTAGAGACGAGGATTAATGGGTTCGAGCTTTCAAAACATGGACTCTCAATTCTAATTGTAAATGCGTTATTGTAGTGTAGTAAATGGAAAGATTGGCAAATATACAAATAAATATGTACAATAATATAGATTATGTACATCAATGTACAGTTGTTTAAACTCTATGAGTCGAAGGAATTATGCTAAGATGGTGGTTTAAGAATGTAATTTGAAAACAAGCACTATATGTACTACATAATGGCAGCCTAATGTTTGTAGATCAACATTTCACTTGGAAGCATGTTTAATATTATACTGAAACATTTTCAAAACGGATACCAACCTTAACTTGAAATCAGATCAGATGTGTTTTTGTGCTCAAGTCCATCTCCAGCACATCGAATAAGATTCGAACGCATAGGAAAAGATTGTTGTGTTGGATTATTTCAAGTTTAAATATCCAGAGCTTTGATTTTTGTGACCATTCTGCCAAATATTACAAAAAATCGAATATGCGTTTTCAAAGTGTTTCAGTATATGTCTATTGCATATCATAAACGTCTAATGAAACATATGCGATGGTGATAATGTGTGGCTTAAAAGTTTAAAATAAACTTTTAGATGTTACTGAAAGATACCTATCCGACAGTTCTGGCATAATCAAACAGTGTTAAACAAAATACCGACAATTTACAAGGGTAAAGGAAGACACAGTTATCTCCCTTATGTCGCAAGGGCATGATCACACACTGTATGTCTACTTGCACGCTATATTGCTTACTAACTGGTTTGATAAGCGTAATGATCAAATTATTGCAAGTCTATTATTTATAAGCGTTTTAAATATTGGAATAAATCAAGGGTATAAAAATGTTTATAAACGTGCTGATTGTATTACACGCTGGCGTGGTCGTCAGAGAAGTGCTTGAAGAAACTTGTCTTTTTGCGTCGATTTTTAAGGTAATGTTTTTTTTAAATCAGTTTCAAAATGCCAACACAACAGATTTCGACTGGTATATCTACATTCATCGACACCAATGTCCTCAACAAACAACGGGTAACTGAGATCACGAAATTGTGTAACTATCGGATCAAATCGTGACCAACAGTTGTCATTCCGAGACAAGCCGAATGTCCTTTCTTGATGTCTGGAGAGATTCGAGAGTTTTCGGATCCAATCGGGTTTTCGCCATGTCAATCCGAACACTTCACCTTAACATGAAACACCTCGGACATGACATGACGATACTGCTAAGTTACTGTAGTGACTTGAAATGGGCAATGTGGTCGGAAGACATCGCTTCAGCCGTTGAAATTACGACCACATTCACTTTCAACACATCAAATGTCCACCTCAGCAGATTGACTCTGTCTCGGAAGGTTCAGTAGCCACGTCTCCGTTAGCTTTAGCGGCCGTCTCTTCGGCCATGACCTTGCCAAACGAAGACTGGCCTGGTCTGGGCTTTGCTGGGGCTTTCCTGAGAGAGTAGCCTTTCTTGATGTCCCTGAGGAGGCGGTCGATGATGCAGCCGTCATCTTCTTGGGGCGGCTTGATTGGTTTGTCTGTAAATAGAAAGTACACTTGACTTTACACAACGTATTTATTAGCATCTATACGTTAGGCCTTACATTTTTTTTTCTTGGTTAAAGGATCCGCCGACCTTAAGTGAGTGAGTCCAGACTCGATTATTTACAGACCGCCGTCATATAGCTGGAATATTGCTGAGTGCGGTGTAAAACAACCAGCCAACCAACCAAGATTTATTTTACCATTTTCCAATCCAAATAAAACTTCAAGAAGATACAAAGCTTCCTGTATGTTGCATTTTATTTCATATTTATTTTCGACCTTCAGATACTATCTTTCACTATCAAAATCCGTAAACATGAAAAAAGCGAAAAAATGCCTGGCCTCATAAGGGCAGTGGGGTTAACTTAGTGGTTAAAGCGTTCGCTCTTCACGCCGGAAGCCCGGGTTCAATTTGTGTACACGGGTGCAGTGTTCTGGTGTCGCCTGCTGGAATATTCCTAAAAGCAAAGTAAAACCGACACCACTCACCTCACCACCATCTCACCGTACACCAACATACCAGCTTCTGATTGGTAATAATTTATTATTTTCCATGTAGGCAAGGTAACTTTCATATCTCGAATAAATATCGTTGAGTTTAAATGAACCAATGTTTATCCGAATGCATTGGGTAAAGGGAAGTAACTCCGTTCGTTTGTGTTGATATGAACACCTGTGGGGTAGGGAACCAGTGCTTTTGTGGGACCAACGAACGCATTAACCACTTGCGTAATGACAGCTGTTGTTTATTTAAACACAGAGTTTAGATGATATTATAATTTTGTTCTGTGTTTTGTTTTGTGGTAGCTATACCACATCGAGTGAGTGACCGCCTCCGTGGTCTAGTGGTAGAGATTCCGCCCAGAGAGCGGAAGCTCAGGGGTTCGAACCACGGCCGCGTCATACCAAAACACGTCAAAAGAAGACTTGTTAACCAGCCAAGCGCTCAGCATTAAGGGGCGAAAACAAGGACTGGTCGGCTCGGAGTCAGCATACTGTGTCTGAGTGGAGCATTCATGTTAAACTGCGGCATGGTATCTCAGTGGCCTAGCACTATAAAGTCAGCTACAGTCAGGACTAGTACAAGCAACCACACACACACACGTGCAATACTATTGAACGACGTAACCCCATTTCACCTCACCCCATATGGAGAGAGTAAGTTAGAATTTTAAGTCACATCAGCATTATGTCAGCCATATTGTGACTATATACCGATCTACGGGAAGCGGACAACATAATCTTATCACATCAGATCCACTTCAAAGAGTGAGTGAGTGAGTGAGTGAGTTGGGTTTAACGCCGCTTTTAACAGTATTCCAGTTATATCACGGCGTCAGCTTAATGTGGAAGGAAAGCCCGAAGTGATGCAGGTCTCAGACGTTTACCACATCGGTGAAACCCACGAGCACGGGTATGGTGCTGACAAACCTAGAAACATAATCGGGGCGAACCGTCCACTTCAAAGAACCTTTATAAATAATATGAAGCTAAAAGTACAACTATTTTCGGTAATGGCTCGTTTATGTTCGTCCCTTCTCTTTCTTTGTTAGTGCTTGTTACCTTTACTTTAATTAACTTTGCTACAAATAGCCCAGACTGGGAGTAGCAACAGGCTTGTGTGATGTCGATAGTCTGCCATATACGTCATATAATTCGCCGAGGGCGATACGTATTGTTTCTGTTTAATGATACTCCAAAATAGCCGACCTTGCTATAATACGGAATAACATTCTAACAGTCTGTCACGCTCATACACATATGTACTTCTTCATATTCATCGACAATTTAATTTGGCGTTGATACATATCATGTTCTGTTTGTTTCGAGGGTAACATTACTACAAAGTCGAACTACAATCAGATATATGATATATCATATATAACACTGGAAATACGTGTGTTATTTAAACCTTAATTATTTTTCTTCTATCAGCTACATTCATCAAAAGCACTGCCGTCTGAAGTTCGAATTGCTGATATTGCAGAATAATGGTCCAGGTTTAGCAAAGTAATATAATGCCCCTACAAAAACAAGAAAATGCCGATCAAGTTATAAGAGATTTCGCAACTTTCAAGGTCGTACTTTCTCCAGACACATCTTGTTAACATACTTATTGTTCATAGCGGGCATTTGCACGGGTAGTGTCCCTGGTGTATAATGAATAGTTGTTTTCTACAGAAATAAATTTAATAATAAGTCCATTTATGATATTCCCCTCACCAATTCATGGGGCAACATCATTACTACCCCGGTCTTAGCACAGTGTGCACAAGAATATCATTCTCAGCTCCCTGGGGATCATACGGCCTTATGAGGTTCTAGAAGGTTTATAGCCACATTGACATCTTATCCTACCGGGTACCCATTCACTGCTGGGCGAACAGAAGCAAACTTGGAACATTGTTTCTTGACTCAGGAGACACATGTGACCTGTGTTTGAGTGGCGGGCAGGGCCGAGGTCCTAGAAACTCCCATGATTTATTCCCAGTTGTCCCCAATACTGTAAGCAACGCCCAAAGTCGCCACAGAAATACAAAAATGAACTGTAATCAGTCACGTCACGGGGTCTGACCACCCGATCGACTTAGGCTGCCCCGGATTCACCAAGGGTGGTCTTTGAGCCAAGGTTGATACCCTACGTTCGGTTCACGCTCTAGGGCAAGTGAGTTTGGTTTTACGCTGCTATTAGCAGTAGTCCAGCAATATCACGGTGGGGGACACCCGAAATTACCTTCACACATTGTACCCAATGTGGGGAATCGAACCAGGGTACTCGGCGTGATGAGCAAACGCTTCACCAACTAGGCTACCCTCCTGCCCCTGCCCGAGGCCTACAGCCATCTGTATATATAGGAATAATGGCGAGTCACTTACTCCCTTGTTTCGCCTTCATTGCTTCTTGTTCCTTTTTCCGTCTCTCAGCTTTTTCCTCTTGAACCCGCCGTTGAATGTTTTCCTGAATTCAGAATTGGCAAGTGATTTTCTTTAAATGCAGGAAGTGAAATTCTTTTTTGTTGTTGTTGTCTTGGTATAATTCATTTGCGTATATTAGGCCCATGTCATATTGTGAGCATCTGTAGGCCGGAGTCACTACTGTCATATTGTGAGTATTTGTAGGCCGGAGTCACTACTGTCATATTGTGAGTATTTGTAGGCCGGAGTCACTACTGTCATATTGTGAGTATTTGTAGGCCGGAGTCACTACAGTCATATTGTGAGTATTTGTAGGCCGGAGTCCCTACAGACATATTGTGAGTATCTGTAGTCCAGAGTCACTACAGTCATATTGTGAGTATCTGTAGTCCGGAGTCACTACAGTCGTATTGTGACTATCTGTAGGCCGGAGTCACTACAGTCATATTGTGAGTATCTGTAGGCCGGAGTCACTACTGTCATATTGTGACTATCTGTAGGCCGGAGTCACTACTGTCATATTGTGAGTATTTGTAGGCCGGAGTCCCTACAGACATATTGTGAGTATCTGTAGTCCAGAGTCACTACAGTCATATTGTGAGTATCTGTAGTCCGGAGTCACTACAGTCGTATTGTGACTATCTGTAGGCCGGAGTCACTACAGTCATATTGTGAGTATCTGTAGGCCGGAGTCACTACTGTCATATTGTGACTATCTGTAGGCCGGAGTCACTACTGTCATATTGTGAGTATTTGTAGGCCGGAGTCCCTACAGACATATTGTGAGTATCTGTAGTCCAGAGTCACTACAGTCATATTGTGAGTATCTGTAGTCCGGAGTCACTACAGTCGTATTGTGACTATCTGTAGGCCGGAGTCACTACAGTCATATTGTGACTATCTGTAGTCCGGAGTCACTACAGTCATATTGTGACTATCTGTAGGCCGGAGTCACTACTGTCATATTGTGAGTATTTGTAGGCCGGAGTCACTACTGTCATATTGTGAGTATTTGTAGGCCGGAGTCACTACTGTCATATTGTGAGTATTTGTAGGCCGGAGTCACTACTGTCATATTGTGACTATCTGTAGGCCGGAGTCACTACTGTCATATTGTGAGTATTTGTAGGCCGGAGTCACTACTGTCATATTGTGACTATCTGTAGGCCGGAGTCACTACTGTCATATTGTGACTATCTGTAGGCCGGAGTCACTACTGTCATATTGTGACTATCTGTAGGCCGGAGTCACTACTGTCATATTTTGAGTATTTGTAGGCCGGAGTCACTACTGTCATATTGTGAGTATTCGTGACCGTAGCCAGCATTGATATAGAATATGAACAAGTGATCTAGATTTCTTTGAACTCTAATGATCACATCTGCGCCGGACGTCCCCTGTGCATGGGGCAATGGTTCTGGAAACGGTCGACCTACCTTTTGACACTGATTGACCTTCTCACAGAAAGTCTTGAAGGTCGTGAGGCACTCCTCCATCTTGAAACTGTTCTCATTCTCACAGAAGTGATGTGCCATCTTCTTCGCGAGTTCATCCACTTCCTCAAACTTATCATCAACCGCTTTAATGTCATCTTTGGCTGACTGTAAAATAGTAAGTGTGTATGTTTAATGTCGGTAAAAGGTGGAATCTTAAAAACATATGCGTTCCTACATTGTTTCCATGCCCCAGGCTGTCGTGTAATGGCGCTGACGAAAGCGTTACCTCACATCAACCTTTGAGGGGTCGTTTTATTACTTAGTTTACTAAATATTACTTTTTTTACCCCAAATTACGCAAATGTGAAATAATAATTTTCCTCCAATTTCAGTAAACAAAAGCCACAATTTTTTTTTCCATAATCGTCTACTGAGGAAATCTCTGAAAGCAGAGTCCATTGAACGGTTCCGACTGTATCATGACCACCATGTGTTTATGAATCACCTTCAAATACTGATGATACAAGGTGTTCGCGAAAAGGTGAGCGTACCTGCCCCACCCGTGTCACCCGTCACAAATACATGCAAAGGCAAGTCAACTGTTCACCAGAAATATTCACGAGAGCATATGGTACAGGTCAAAGTAGGGACTTACATCGGACATCATATGTCAATTAACATGACACTAAAAAAAGGACCAAAATTAGAGGGGAAATCACCATCAATCATTTGTTTTCACTCTTAAACATCTTTATTTGCATTCCAGTTCATCCGTTTTTCCCTAATTGGCAATTCTTTTAAGAAAGACGAGAAAGAATTGATATCGATCCTGTTTATTTTGACAAAAAGAGCGTTTGTAATCAAAATGGATGGCACTACCCAATAACATTTCCACAGGAAATCGGTATTTTATGTGAAACAAATTTTGTTTCAAGAGGCCGAAAATTCGCGAATAAATACAACCAAACAAATAAGAAGGGTTTTACACTGTAAGTTGACAATAACGCTGTGCTCCAGACGGGTTTCGCTTTGACGTGCCATGGTACACCAGGTGGTTTTAGAAACGAACCATTAGGAGTTTTTGTACGAACACGACATCATGTTTGACCAAAGTCTTCAATGGGATGTTTCCGTTCTATGAGTTCCAGGAAGTATTGATACTTTCACCTCGTCGCTGGGTTTCAAACCATGATAATCATTTGAAATCTTTTACTCCAATAGATCCCTCCCTACTTGACTAACATTTAGTCCCAGAAATAAAATATACTGATTTAAAATTATATATCTACAAAATAAACAAATAAAATTCAAATGGAGACCAGAACAATCCTTAATTCCCGCAGCTGGGGCAATCTAGACTTGCCAAGTCATTCTAGACTTGAGTTGGACAACTTTTTCAATTTATTCTCTTGGAGCCCAGAATAATCCTTAATTCCTGCAGCTGAGGCAATCTAGACTTGCCAAATCATTCTAGACTTGAGTTTATTTATTCAATTTATTCTCTTGGGTCTGGGAGACAGACTACCTCACTATCTGACGACCCGATAAACCAACCATGGTCGGAGGGGGGAGTATGAAGTGAGTGTAGCACATCCACGCTTACTAACACTTTGTAAGTATTAAGCAGGTGAGTGAGTGGGTTGGGTTTAACGCCGCTTTTAACAGTATTCCAGTTATATCACGGCGTGTCAACTTAATGTGGAAGGAAAGCCTGAAGTGATGCAGGTCTCAGACGTTTACCACTTCGATGAAACCCACGAGCACGGGTATGGTGCTGACAAACCTAGAAACATAATCGGGGCGATCCGGGATTCGAACCCACAATCATAGGTTTCTGGCGTGCCCAAGGGACGCAACTCTGCACAGAGAATCTCGGCGCCTTAGACGACTGGGCCACCCGTGCCCCCATTAAACAGGTACACTGATGGACTTGTGAAAGGCATTCGGGACATTAAAACAGGGAAAGTAGGGTGTCAGTTACCCCCTCATGTCAGAGGTATGGGCCTACCTGCAAGAACTTCTGGAACTGGTTTTTGATGTCGTCTCCAGACTTGTCCACTTGAGTCTGCAGCTTCTTCACGCTTGTCTTCAGCTGACCAAGTTCGGACTTGAGATTGTCCACCGTCAATCTGTAACAGAAACAACAGTGGAGGTTTTCATGGCAACTGCAGGACTGGGTGACCGGTGTTTGGTGTCACTACTGGGCTGTCTTAACCAAAGGGACAGTTATAGTACGGCCGTTTCGGGATATAATTGACTGCCGTGTCAGGATTAGTGCATTGTTATATTCATACATTAATTCACGAGTTGATAAATACAGGATCAAATTAAGCGTGAGCGAGTATAGTTTTACGCCGCTTTAGCAATATTCCAGCAATATGACGGCGGGGGAACCAGAAATGGGCTTCACACATTGTACCCATGCGGGGAATCGAACACAGGCCTTCGGCGTGACGAGCGAATGCTTTACCAACAAGGCTACCCCACTGCCCCGATCAAATTAAAAATAACGGTGATATTCACCAAGTGGCACACAGTTCCTAGTACCAGTTGCACCCGGGTGACATTTCAGAAGCAAGAATGAATATAAAATCAAACGAAGTGAAAATTAAATGTAATTCTGATTAACATTCTGATTAGAGACCACGCATGTCTAAAGCATAAAGCTCCACACTACTGTGATCCAATGCAAGGCCGTAGTTAACTTTGTTTGTACAAGTATCACTTGTCCCCAACTTGATTAAAATAAAACTGTTTTCTATACTGGCCAATGCAACCTCGTGCCACACACCTGCTGGCAGCCGTCAGTGTGGGTAGAAGGACCTGTGCAAAGTCCAGGATCTCCCCACTCTCCTTCTCCGCCTCCCCCACCAGGAAGTGCAGCAACGTCACCCGTGGCTTGTTGGCTCGCGTGTCCATCAGCTTGGACAAGGAGGCGACCTTGAAACCAAGGGCGTTACCCGCATACCCACCCTGAAACACGGATATAAAACACGTTACTTGCATACCTACCCTGAAACACGGACATTAAACACGTTACCCGCAGACACAAGACAAGCTTTACCTCAATGGTTGTACGCGTACACTACTATTGGGTGAAACCCTTTGATAGGATATCGATTACAAATAGTCGCGTTACCGTAGTAAAGAGTGAGTGAGTGAGTATGGTTTTAAGCTGCTTTTAGCAATATTCCAGCAATATCACGGCGGGGGACACCAGAAATGGGCTTCACACATTGTACCCATGTCGGGATTCGAACCCGGGTCTTAGGCGTGACGAGCGGACGCTTTAACCACTAGGCTACCCGACCGCCCCTAATAGAGAATAAAGATACACAAAAAGTGTGTTCCACAGATGCCCGCGTGCTTTATTATAGTGAATATAGTAAGAGGAGGGGATGTTCATAAAAAATAATTTGTTCACTGGACACGAAGATTTTCCTGAAAATATACATGCGTTGGGAATTTTTTCTGTTACCTACCATGGTATTTTGCGTATTGATTAGGATATGACAACTTCTTATGGATAAAAAAAGACAAAAAAACCTTCTACATCCAAACTGAGGCGACGCTTCGGTGTAGACACTAAACTCTGTACCAAGCAAGTCATGACGCTTGAAGTAGAATGTTTTGATGCAGTGCCCGAAAAAATATCTAAAATTTCAAAACAATTCTCCACCCCGAAGAATATCAAATGAGACTCTTAGATACAATTTAAGGTCATCCTCATCTCATTGGCATTGTTTCATGAACACTTTATACGTTTATATCATTTAGAGTGAGTGAGTGAGTATGGCTTGACGCCGCTTTTAGCAATATTCCAGCAATTTCACGGCGGGGGACACCATAAATGCGCTCCACACATTGTACCCATGTCGGGATTCGAACCGGGTCTTCGGCGTGACGAGCGAACGCTTTAACCACTAGGCTACCCGACCGCCCTTATATCATTTAGAAACCTGTCAACAAAGGACAACCCGTATATTGTAACTTACCGCAGAATAACATTTTAAAAATAAATGACGAGCCCTATGCCAGATTTATATTTATTTACATGTTGCTATAAATATGCTCTAAATCACAATAATACGCTAAACGAAGAAAAATCAACACACGCACACACGCACACACGCACACACGCACATACACACGTTGATTTTCGTAGCATAGAAATCTTGCCGCAATATCATGACACACAATTCAGCACATCAACTAGCGGTGTCTTAGACGACCGGGTTTGCACACATCTGAAAGTCTGAAGCTACTCTGACTCACCGAGTTCATAAAGTTGCCCGTATGTAGGACGTATCTCAAGAAGGCTTTGAGCGACTCGTTATCCATGACCATCTTGCCAGCGTTGATGATGACTTTGACGTTGGGGACAAGTGTCTCCATGATGGTTCGGAATTCGTCCTTCAGGAGCATGCCTTCGACCCTGACCTTGTAGCCAGACAGATCGGACAGCAGCAGGTAGAACTTCTCAGCGTTCCCCAGCTTCGTCTTGTCCCCGTCATACGCCTTGATGGTTGCGATCTGACAACGTAAGAGTGAGTGAGTGAGTATGGTTTTACGCCGCTTTTAGCAATATTTCAGCAATATCACGGCGGGGGACACCAGAAATGGGCTTCACGCATTGTACCCATGTCGGGAATCGAACCTGGGTCTTCGGCGTGACGAGCGAACGCTTTAACCACTAGGCTGTGTCAAATATATGTTCTGAATATGAAACGTCGACGCCAGGGAATAATTCGATTATCTGCCGAAACAGATTCCATTGGGCGTAAATGGCAAAATGGGAGTGAACATATATATATATATATATATATATATATATATACATAAAAATGGATGCCCGACTGGTCGCATCTGCCGCTTCAAAACCTTATGCATAAAAAGGTAAGCGTGTGTTTGTTCCCTGACGATGCACATCAATACTCCTGCAATACGACGAGGCCTGTATACAGTCGAGTCTTGATCAGACAATCAAGTGATGGGCCAGACAATCCAGTGACACGATAACGTAACTACTGATTTTGTTGAAACTAAAAGGTTAATTGCGAAACACATCTGATGTTTACAAGTGCAGCGATTCTCGAATGTTCTGGTAATGCTGTAAATCTGTCGTCACCATGTTCAAACATGTTGTTCCCCAGAATAATTCCAAGCGTCTACAACTCCAGGTCATTGACTTCTAAATTGTTCTGTGGGAGTCAGTGAGTTGGGTTTGACCCGTTGTGAACAGCACAGGTATGTCAGGCACACCAGGGTGGGTCAGCTTGGAATGGAAGGATGTCCAAAGTGACAGATTGTGGGACCTTCAACACTTTGGTGAAGTGAAGGTGAAATGGAGTTTAACGTCGCGTCCAAGATTATTGCACTTATATAGCGACGTGTGTGTGTGTGTGTGTGTGTGTGTGTGTGTGTGTGTGTGTGTGTGTGTGTTTGTGTGTGTTTGTGTGTGTGTGTGTGTGTGTGTGTGTGTGTGTGTGTGTGTGTGTGTGTGTGTGTGTGTGTGTGTGTGACTGCTTGTACTAGTCCGGACTGATGCCGATTTATAGTGCTAGCTCACTGAGATACCATGCCGCAGTTTAACATGAATACCCCACTCAGACAGTATACTGACCCCGAGCCGACCAGTCCTTGTTTTAGCCCCTTAATGCCGAGCGCCAGACAGGGTAACAACAAGTACCACCTTTTAACGTCTTTTGGTATGACGCGGTCGGGGATCGAACCCCGGACCTTCCGCTCTCCGGGCGGACGCTCTACCACTAGACCACGGAGGCGGTCACCACTTTGGTTAAACCAGGAGCATGGTGCAGAAAGACTAAGGACCCCAATCGGGATTCTGGGATTCCCTGGTCCGTGCAGGACTTGTGTAGGACTTGCCTGCACGATTTTCAGATTTCATTGTTTTGGTACATGCAACACAACATAGCCTAGTATCCATTCTACGCACCTCATCTGGTTCCGGGATGTTCTTCTGTAGTCCTCGAAGTCTCTCTGCACCAATGACAGCATCATCACCATCTTTAATCATCTGAACGACCTCCTCGTTCTTGGCTTTGAACTGCTTGAGGAAGATGTTGACGTTCATGCTGCGCTTCATGTCCAGAAGATTCACCTGCCAGACGGAAGTGGCCAGTCAACAGATTGCTTGGTGCATATTGATACTACCCAAACCGGTGACCGATGTTGTAACGACCAACGCCGTTGGTAACGATAACACCGTCCCCCAGATCCCAGCTGACAAACAACTCGTCGTATACTACTCATAACAATTTAAGCACGGTGGCTGGAGTGCAGCTATCTATATACCCATTGCGTCACATCTGTTTGGGCCTTGACCTTGTGGGTGCTGCCTGACCCCCTATTGCAACACATGGGGTGCAGCTATCTATATACCCATTGCCTCACCTCTGTTGGGGCCTTGACCTTGTGGGTGCTGCCTGACCCCCTATTGCAACACATGGGGTGCAGCTATCTATATACCCATTGCCTCACCTCTGTTGGGGCCTTGACCTTGTGGGTGCTGCCTGACCCCCTATTGCAACACATGGAGTGCAGCTATCTATATACCCATTGCCTCACCTCTGTTGGGGCCTTGACCTTGTGGGTGCTGCCTGACCCCCTATTGCAACACATGGGGTGCAGCTATCTATATACCCATTGCCTCACCTCTGTTGGGGCCTTGACACTGTGGGTGCTACCTGACCCCCTATTGCAACACATGGGGTGCAGCTATCTATATACCCATTGCCTCACCTCTGTTGGGGCCTTGACCTTGTGAGTGCTACCTGACCCCCTATTGCAACACATGGGGTGCAGCTATCTATATACCCATTGCCTCACCTCTGTTGGGGCCTTGACCTTGGTTTGCTCCACAGGTTTAGTCTTGTCCACCGTCTTCTGACAAAAGAGTTGTTCAATGGTGTCGTACTGGACCTTCACCTTGTCGGACATAGTCGATACCTCCTTCCACACGTTGTCCTCGCCTGGAAATGTGCAAATGCGAAACATATTAGAAGTTCAAATATGACATAAAATTTGGATTCATAGGAAGAATACATTTCAGAATCAGAGCTTTTCCATTTCCTGTGGCTTGTAAAATCAACAGCTGGAGAAACAGTTCAATTGTTCCTCAAAATCCTGCTTTACAACAAACTTTCTACCCATTTCCTCGTTATATGTACGTAAAAGTTTATGCAAACTATCCCAGCTGTGTACATGTATAGTTTACGGTAAATTAAAAAACGTCAACGCCAGAAAATAATAAATCTCGAAATGGAAAGTATTTTCTGCTGTACAGGTAGCACCTGCCACTCGCGCAGTTTGTACGAAGAGTGAGTGAGTATGGTTTTACGCCGCTTTTTAGCAATATTCCAGCAATATCACGGCGGGGGACACTAGAAATGGGCTTCACACATTGTACCCATGTCGGGAATCGAACCCGGGTCTTCGGCGTGACGAGCGAACGCTTTAACCACTAGGTTACCCGACCGCCCCGTTTGTACAAGGAGTCCACAAGTAAGTAAATGTTATTTCCCACCGTCAGCAATAATTCAACATCGTTTGACAGCGTTGGAGGCGTCGTCGAGGTAGGACGACACACAATCGCTTCAGGTACCGAATTATGACCATCCTTTCCTCATTTTAGTTGTTTTTACGGTGTCATGAATCTTTTATACATCGGAATCACAAATGGGTACGCAATCAGTACTTACTGTTCATTGCCGTCGGGGGCAATTTCGACCAGTTAAAAGTCTTCATTTTGTGTTTTGGTTTTGGTGTTGTGATCCCTTGGAAACTCGGGGCAGGACTCCGGAATTGAAGAGGGTGCGGTCGGTTTCCACCGGGCGGTGGTGGAGCACCTGGTGGAGGCGGGGGTGGAGGTGGTCCACCTCCTGGGGGTGGGGGTGGAGGTGGAGGAGGAATACCGCTGCCGGGTGGGGGTGGTGGTGGGGGTGGAATACCGCTGCCGGGTGGTGGTGGGGGAGGTGGGGGCGGAGGAATGCCACCTGGTGGCGGAGGAGGAGGTGGGGGGATTCCACCTGGGGGTGGCGGAGGAGGGGGTGGAGGAGGTATCCCACTTGGTGGTGGGGGAGGGGGTGGCGGTGGTGGGATTCCAGGTTGTAGCGGTGTAGAAGACCCTGAAGCACTTTGAGGTGGTGGAGGTGGCGGTGGGGGTGGAGGGATAGCACCATTTGTGGAGGAGTTATTAGCACCATTTGATAATCCATCAGTGGAAGAATCTCTATCACAGACTTTATTTGATAATGAGCATGAAACTTCACTGGCTCTGCCAACTTGGCTCTCTCCAGTCCATGCTTCCGTTGGTTTTGCTGGCGGTAAAATGAGTCCATTCTTCTGATGGTCCAAGCCATTCACTAACACAATCTCTCCTGTCGAAGGGGAGACAACTCCCTGACTTCCGGTCACTTCACCATTACCAGTTGGCAGTTTATCAGTCTGTATTGCCATGTCTTTACGGTTGACCTCGTCTCTCGGAGGCGACGCCCGGGGGGACATTAGCCTGTCCATCACCATCTTGCTGACGTCGTCTGTATCTTTCAGCACCACCATCTTGCGCGACGCCAGCTCCATCAGCTTCCACTGGTTGTCACTGAAGATGAAAGTTGATCAGCGTGAGTGAATTAAGCAACATCCCACAGCCATGTCGGGAGACATAAAAGATGCGATTCACAATTTGTATCCATAAAACATATAAACAGTAATCTCACAGAATGGTATTTGCGATGTGTGTTTCCTGAGATATATGCTACCAGAGATGTGTGTTCCCTAAGAGATGTGTTAACTCAGAAATATGCTACCAAAGACGTTTGTCACCTGATATGTGTTACCTTAGATATAGGTTACCTGAGATGTGTGTTACCTGAGTTATGTTACCTGATATGTACTACCGGAGACATATGCTATGCAAGATGTTTGTTACCTGAGATGTGTGTTACCTGAGTTATGTGTTACCTGAGTTATGTTACCTGAGATGTGTTACCCGATATATGTGCTACCGGAGACTTATGCTATGTCATATGTTTGTTACCTGAGATGTGTGTTACCTGAGTTATGTTATCTGAGATGTGTTACCCGATATATGTGCTTCCAGTGACCTATGCTATGAGAGATGTTTGTTACCTGAGTTGTGTGTTACCTGAGTTATGTTACCTGAGATGTGTTACCCGATATATGTGCTACCAGAGACATATGCTATGTGAGATGTTTGTTACCTGAGATGTGTGTTACCTGAGTTATGTTATCTGAGATGTGTGTTACCTGAGTTATGTTACCTGAAATGTGTTACCCGATATATGTGCTTCTAGTGACCTATGCTGTGTGAGATGTGTGTTACCTGAGTTATGTGTTACCTGAGTTACGTTACCTGAGATGTGTTACCCGATATACGTGCTTCCGTAGACCTATGCTGTGTGAGATGTGTGTTACCTGAGTTATGTGTTACCTGAGTTACGTTACCTGAGATGTGTTACCCGATATACGTGCTTCCGGTGACCTATGCTGTGTGAGATGTTTGTTACCTGAGATGTGTGTTACCCGAGTTATGTGTTACCTGAGTTATGTGTTACCTGAGTTATGTTTCCTGAGATGTGTTACCCGATATATGTGCTACCGGAGACATATGCTATGTGAGATGTGTGTTACCTGAGTTATGTTACCTGATATGTACTACCGGAGACATATGCTATGTGAGATGTGTGTTACCTGAGTTATGTTACCTGATATGTACTACCGGAGACATATGCTATGTGAGATGTTTGTTACCTGAGATGTGTGTTACCTGAGATGGGTGTCGGGGTCAATCTGCAGCAGTGACTGCAGGATAGACAGGAAGACGTCGGCGTGGGGCGTGTTGTACACCTGGAAGACAACAACCATGGACATTCAGACTAGCCAATGACACAAACATCTTGCCTACTTCACTTGAACACAATTTACGCTTCTTATCAAGACTCATACATGGAGTGTGTGAGTGAGTGAGTATCAACGCCTCTTTGAACAGTACACCAGTCAAATTCATGTCAGAGAACAGCATGGGTGGATGTCATAGTCATCCTCTTGACCCCGACCCATTATTAGGGTACTTTTGATTAGTTTGTTTGTTTCTTGTTCAACGCCGCACTCAGCAATATTCCAGCTATATGACGGCGGTCTGTAAATACTCGAGTCTCGACCAGACAATCCAGTGATTGACATTATGAGCATCAGTCCCCGCTATTGGGATACGATGACATGCATCAACCAAGTCATAAGCCTGACCACCCGATCCCGTTAGTTAGTCTCCCCTTACAAGCACAGTCGCCCTTTACGGCAAGCATGGGTTGCTGAAGACCTATTCTATCCCGGATCTTCACGGGTAAAGGTACTATTGAACCACTAGTACCACCTCTGGGGCCGTATCAATAGTGGCTATATATTGTTTTATCTGGGGGACGGCTTCACACATTCTACCCATGTCGGGAATCGAACCCGGGTTTTCAACGTGACGATCGAACGCCTTAACCACGAGGCTACCCTCCCCCCCGCTATAAATACGTTGTTGGGTGAATTTATTTTACTTAATGCTGCTTTGAACAGTATTTCAGTGATATCACGACTTGTCAACTTGACGTGCACGACGAAACGCCCGAAATGATGTAGGTCTTAGACGTCTACCACGTCGTTGAAACCAACAAGTACGGGTATGGTGCCAACAAACCTAGAAACATAATCAGGGAGAAGCTGGGATTCGAACCCACGATCATAGGTTTCTGGCACGATTAAGGGACCTTAGACGACTGGGCCACCTGTGCCCGAAGTCAATATGAATCGGACCTGGGGTTGCTGGGGACGAATCGCTATGTATGCATGTTGAACAAGGAGTCTGAGAATACGGACACTGAATCCTACTATTCAATCAATTTTCAGTGAAGCTTACCGAATTCAATTTTTTAATTGAATTATATCATTTTAGTCATATTTCAAAGGATAAAAACTCGCTGACAATCGGAGAAATGGGATTTAGAATTCTGATTGATGGTGCCGCCAGCGGTATTTCTGAATCCGTCATCAATATCCATTTGAAACCCGCATTGACTCAACAGTCGCCATCTATCACAAAGCTGACACAATCCATCACTTCGGCTTCTTTTCTCAAAGTTACCACTATTGAATTTTAACGCCAAGACCTCTGTCGGAGAAAAGCTCCCTTTCTATCAACGAAAACTAAGCATTGTCTTATACAGGCCATCGAGCAATAGCCACACTAGCATATCTCAGCGGGAATGTCCCCAAAATGTCCACACCAAAGAGAACCCCCACGTCGCTCGAACAATAACTTCCAATCACATCTCAGCTTGAGCGACAGTCGTAAGCCGAAGAAATACGTTTCAATCATGAAATAGAAAGGCAAAAACGGCTTTTCAATTAATTTGGGAAGACGACTCAAGTGGAACTAAATCTTGATTACGAGTTGCAAATGTTGTGGTAACCGTTCGATGGAATGTTGTATCAAAATATTGAATACCCTCACGTCAGTCTAGGATCTCATCTGTGTCATGTGATCAAGTTGAATTGTTTTAAAGGTTTGCGTTGATCGCTCTTGTGAGGTTTTTGACGGAGTAAAATGTATGGCGATGTTGCAGTTGGAATGGAGGTTGGCGGGGCAACAATTGGAACGTAAGCGAGCAGGGGAGCGTGAGCGAGTGAGTGTGCTAACGATCGAGCGAGTCAGTGATTGATAGAGGAAGTATAAATAATCGCATTGTAGAGACGGGACATTATCAATTTTTCCACATTGGTAAGAATGACTAGAGAAGTATAGCATATTCATTTGCTTTAAGTGTGAGTGAGTGAGTGAGTTTGATTTTACGCCGCTTTTAGCAATATTCCAGCAATATCACGGCGGGGGACACCACAAATGGGCTTCACACATTGTACCCATGTCGGGAATCGAACCCGGGTCTTCGGCGTGACGAGCGAACGTTTTAACCACTAGGCTACCCGACCGCCCCCATTTGCTTTAAGAGGGAACTGCTACCACCGCTGCTGCTACTTACAACACTACCACTACCACATTTCCCGAACTTGACTGTTAGTCGCGGGTTCGAAGCTGAACCAAGCATGGAGACCTACTTCGGCGTCGGAATCCTGATCTAGTGGTAGAGCTTCCGCGGATCTAGTGGTACAGCGTAGGGCGGAATGTCCGGGTTCGATACCCGGCCGCATCATACCAAAAGATAGTTCTTGTTGTTACCCTGTCTGGCGATCGGCATTAAGGGGTTAAAACAAGGACTGGTCGGCTCGGGAGTCAGTATACTGTGTCTGAGTGGGGTATTCATGTTAAGCTGCGGCATGGTATCTCAGTGGGCTAGCACTACAAAATCGGCATAAGTCCGGACAAGTACGCAAGCACGCAAATACACAGACACACAGACACAGACACAGACACACACACGTTATACCCTTATACTCTCACCGCACCTCACCTACTGGGGACCCACTCTGGCGTTGCAATCGTCAAAGTGTGAGTGAGTTGGGTTTAACGCCGCTTTTAACAGTATTCCAGTTATATCGCGGAGTGTCAGCTTAATTAGGGAGGAAAGCTCGAAGTGATGCAGGTCTTAGACGTTTACCACTTCGGTGAAACCAACGAGCACGGGTATGGTGCTGACAAACCTAGAAACATAATCGGGGCGAATCGGGATTCGAACCCACAATCATAGGTTTCTGGTGTGCCAAAGGGACGCAACTCTGTACAGCAAATCGCGGCGCCTTAGACAACTGGGCCACCCGTGCACCCCGGAATCGTCAAAGGGAGACAAGCATTGGAACCTATTTTGCCCCGCATTGGGTTCTGCTCTGTTCCAAAACGCACTCACAGAAACGTTTATAGAAAGACTGATGCACGATACGTTTGTCCATCTTGTTCAAACTCGGCTATCTATTTATCATGAGAGTGCCCTGACCGATGAACTGTCGCATGTGTGGACAGAAAGACAGCAAATGAACTAGTGGATGGATAGATGGAGTAGGCGATGGAGACGTACATCCTAGATAGAAAATTAGTTGCCACGGGCAGGGATAGGTACCACACGAAACATCACACATGGCCATCTCCTATAGGTCAACTTTCATGTAATAATACAAGAATAATTATCTCACCACAAAGTACGTTAACGACATTATCTTGAAGATCCGTGTCACATAGTATAGGGGAGGTTTCCCACACATACACAGTTCAAATAAGGCACTGATGGTGCGGTGTATTTCCGAGCCTTTCAGTGACCGATGAGTTCACTCAGACACAAATGAATTAGCGACGTCAATGGTGTTAGCTCAGTTTACGTGACTGGAAAACAGGCAGGCAAGGCTCAAGGTTGCCCAGGAATCTTCCTTGGAGACCTGTTGACCATTTTGAAAGTGATTTTTCTTACTTTTCGTGTCTGAGTTCTTCCGTACGTTTCGAAAGTCACATTGAATAGAATTGCAAATTGATTTGATCAGTGGGAGTGTTGTGTTGGCAAACGTTGACTTACCTTCTGAAGAACAACCTTGAACACCTCATCTGGGTTGCTGATGTCAAGCGCTGCTGACGTCATGGCCGCAAGCTCCTCGTCATCATCGTGCTTCTCGTCGTCAAAGACGTCACACTGAATGTTGAGGTCATCGTCATCGATGTCGCGCATCGCGTGGACAAGGTCGAGAAGGTTGAGACCTGTTAAAATATATTAATGATGTACATAACACAAGATAATGATGTACATAATACAAGATTCAGACAGATTACATTTCAGAAAATTAAGAAGGCGATGCTTTGAAATGAATGGACGGCAATGTGTATAAGTACGTACACCTTGTGCATCCGTTCTGTTGAAACATATCGATTGGATTAACTAATTTCCAGACAGCAAATCATTGATGCGGGGTTATGTCCCTTTGTATAACCTACAGTGGAACCTCGTTAGTCCGGATCCTGTTAATCAGGAGACTCCATCTTCCGCAGGATCACTGCATGGAACTCAACATGAATACAAAGAGACATTACTCTCCTCCGTGATTCATTCATTCGAAAACGTGTTATTCCGGACCATTTCAGTGAAAATATCACCGTTCGGATTAAGGAGGTTTCACTGTATACGGCAAACATTCTCAATGGCAGTCTTCTGGAAGGCAGGATTTCCGGAAAATTGGGGATCCAATGTATGCATTAAGGTGTACTCGGGGGAAGGTGAGGTATCGAACTGCTAAGATTGTTTTTAAGGAACAGAAAAGGTTTTTTTAAGCCTGTACTGCCAGGTATACAAACCAATACACTGAAATGGTGTGCCTAACAATTCTTTTGGCCCCACAACACATTTTCAGGACATTCAGTGAACATTGATGCATTGATGGGTGTGTCAAAAATGATTTATAAGATTTATTGTACAATGCAATATGAGTGAGTGAGTATAATTTTACGCCTCTTTTAGCAATATTCCAGCAATATCACGGCGGGGGGACACCAGAATGGGCTTCACAGATTGTACCCATATGGGGAATCAAACACGGACTTTAGGCGTGCCGTGCGAACGCTTTAACCACCAGGCTTCCCCATCGCCCCCAGTGCATTTTGAAATATCAGTCCAATATAGCGTGTAATAATTGACGGCCTGCGGTCTGGAGCCGTATCCAAACTAACAACAGCTCTGCTGTAAATATCCACATTTTGACGGGCACCTGACAGAGCATGTAAACGACAGTGCCTAGCAACGACAAGAATTGAAAAATATGATTCTGATAATATAAACGTGTGTAAAGTAAAAGAACGTCTCTAAACAATTGTTGTATTCGAAAACATAATCTAAAGGTGTAATTCACATCCATCCTCGTTTTTTGTCAATGTTTTATTCTTTTCCGACCATTGGTATTAGTGATATAATACTCTTTAAATCAAATTTAAACGCTCGTGCTCTCGGTCAATTGAATTAATTCTTCAATTAGCTTTCCAATGGTGGGCATTTATACATAAAGACGTAGAAACTGAATTATTTCGTGATCTCGGTTGTGGTTGTCAGCAGTTTGGCGCCAATAGATACCACGTGGCACGTGACGTAGCTATCCCTGAATACATTTCTTAATAAACACTTAATTTCGAAACGTTCTCAAGGGCAACATTTAAAGCCAGCTGAGAATCTTAATAAACACCTGGGACCCGTTCCACAAAGCTATCTTAGCGCTACTCGACTGTCGTAAGTCAATGTTAAAGTGAGGGAGCTACGATCGTCTCAGCGATATGATCGCTTTGTGGAACAGAGCCCCTGTCAGTTCAAATCCACCAGGCCAGACCCCGTATTTCCGGAAACACGGACTTTTTTGAGTGCGGTTTTACGCCGCCTTTAGCAACATTCCAGTAATATCATAAATTGGCTTCACACATTGTACCCATGTGAAGAATCGAAACTGGGTCTTCGGCGTGACGACGAACGCTTTAACCACTAGACTACCCCAACGCCCCTACCTTAATAGGGGAATGGGGGCCGTTGTGATGTGACAAGCAAGTGATTTTATATCTATGAACAAAAACCTAAAATACCGTCGACTGTGCGTGCACTTTTTACGCAGAAAACGATTCTAATACATTTTCCCCTAACGCCGAGAATAGAAACATCAGATGGACTTACCGCGTCGGGGGCTCATGGTAGAGAGATTGATTACCTTCATATTTCTAGAAAAATACCAAATCTAACACACTTCAATGTTCGTTAGCATACTGAGAGCACAACTCTCCCCAACAACTGTCATGGAATGGAATGAAACCTGCCCTGAGCTGTTATAGACAAACAGATGGCACTGCAGATAAGTGTGTATTACATCTCGGTGATTAATTAGCCTTGATTAGGTACCCACTTGTCGGAGCGTAGCCATGAGTGACAGGTGTGTATTGCAATGCGCGTGGTTATTAGTTAACACTCATTTCCTGGTATTTAACAGGTGTATTGTCAATTTCAACACGGGGAGGGGGGATATATCGACGACAATTTATTTTGTACACATGGTTTGTTGTGTGCCATATGGCCTGGCATTGCATACTATTTATCACTATTTGTATTGCCATGCTGGTATATATAAATGTGTGCCATTTTAATAAAATAATATTTTTATTCATCTGTAAACGTCAGGGGTGCATCGTCGTCTCAAAAGGCGGAAACACCAAAGAACATGTGTTCTGTAATAACTTGATGTTTCAGCTATTTCTTTTGGTGTGCAAATTCAACAAGTAGCATTCATAGTCCCATCTGTATGGACACTTGGTATTTTGTTAACACCTGGTGACGTTTACGCATTAGTAGGTAACTCGATTCACCTATATATATCAAAGAATCTACCACCGCATTCCTGCTGACATGGCAGAACCCATTATTCCTTTACCGTTAGCCTGGCGGACTGGGCTCAGACCAAATTTTAGTACTCTATTTTGGAATCGGGCCATAAAACCGTTTTATGATCCATTTCTACTACCAATATCTGATCATGTTATTTCACAAGGACACTGACCCAGTGTGGCACCGGACACTCAATACATCGTCTGGACCTGGTCAAGATGGGAGGGCGATGAATATACTGCCCCGTTATATAAATACCACTTTGACGGGAGGATGCAGCCCAATGTATTGATTTGGTATTTTTAGCTCGTATATGCTTCTCAATCAGCAGACAAATGTACCGTTTTGGAATGTCTACGTAGGTGCCGTTATTTTAGTGTCCTCTTAGAAATATTGGAACTGAACGCACTGAAACGAGCGATTTATATATTCAAGGTTCTTTACAAAAAATGTTTAAAAGCCGTTGTCGGCAATGTTCCTGCTATATCACGGCGACCTTATCACGTCTCGACTAACAGTGAGTGAGTTGGGTTTAACGCCGCTCTAAAACAGGATTTCAGTTATAACGGGGCGTGCGTGAGGAAATCCCGAAGTGATGCAGGTCTTAGACGTTTACCATTTTGATAAAACCCAGGACCAAGGGTGGGTGTGGTGCTGACAAACCTAGAAACATAATCAGTTCGCACCGGGATTCGAACCCTTATTATGTGGTTCTGGTGTGCCCAAGGTATGCAGACTTTCCAAGACTCCCCCCCCCCCCCCCCCCCCCCCCCCCCCCCCACACACACACCCTTGACTAAGAAAGCTAGTGACGTTAAACCCGAGTAACGATCCATGCCATTCGCAATCAGCCAAGACAAAAGCCTAATCAGGCGATCTCCATTTCAGTCGTCTAAGACACGAGATACTGGGGATTCGAACCCACTCGGGCCCAGAATCTTCACAAAAAATCTCATGCATCGCGCAATCTACTCAGCTAATGAATCGCCAATTTAGGGTATTTTTAACACAATAGTTTGTTCCAGAAAATGCTGAAACAATTATTATCCTCATTTTTTCAGAACAATAAATACTTATTCACTGGGTATGCTGCATGTACTGAGAAATATGTGTTGTGGTTCCAAATTATATTCTGTCAACAAAATAAATAGTAACTTCTTCCATCCCGTCAACCCACCTATAAACTCGCTCCTTATCATGGTACGCTCCCTCAGGTCGTCGGTTGCCACCAGGATACAGTTGATGAACGCTACCAACGTTGTCCGGTACGGCACCAACTCCGCCCCCTTCAACTCGTTCACGATCAGGCTGAACCTGTATCGAAGTTTCTTCATCGTCTGAAAAAGATGTTTTATGCATCATGAGTAAGTGAGTATGGTTTACGCCGCTTTTAGCAATATTCCAGCAATATCACGGCGGGGGACACCAGAAATGGGTTTCACACATTGTACCCATGTCGGGAATCGAACCCGGGTTTTCGGTGTGCAAGCGAACGCTTTAACCACTAGGCTACCAGACCTCCCCTGTATGCATTATGACAATAGGATCACTATGAACATACTACTGTATATTGTGTTAATTTGACCTGGCGAAACACGCACCTATTTGCAATCATGGCATTTTTGTGTGTGCAAACTTGCATACATTTTCAATAAACCTTAAGCATTTAAATTATACTGCCTTTTCCAGATTTGTTGATTAAAGGACATTTCTCCAACGTCAAGTGGGTCGTTGGCAGAAATAAGATACACATATTATTTCCAAAACGTTCTTTTAAACTTTTAAGGCATTGTCTGTAGGGTTCATTTTGTTTGTGGTTTAACGTTTCACTCAGCAATATTCCAGCTGTATGACGGCGGTCTGTTAGTTATCGAGCCTGGATCAGATAATCCTGTGATTGAAATCATGTGCATCGATCTACGCAATTGGGATACGATGACATGCCTCAACCAAGTCAACCAAGTCTTATGACAAGCATAGTCGCCTTTTACGACAAGCACGGGGGGCTGAAGCCGGATCTCTACGGGTATGTGGCCGGAAATGGTAACTTGCATCAACTACCTTGAAGGTTGTGCCATTATTGCAATATTGCAATTGCATGTTAATTTTACTCAACGCTGTTTAAAAAAAATGTGAACAGTTGTGAAACTTGGGTAGGGCTATCCAAAAACCAAGAGTGAGTGAGTGAGTATGGTTTAACGCCGCTTTTAGCAATATTCCAGCAATATCACGGCGGGGGACACCAGAAATGGGCTTCAAACATTGTACCCATGTCGGGAATCGAACCCGGGTCTTCGGCGTGACGAGCGAACGCTTTAACCACTAGGCTACCCGACCGCCCCCCAAAACCAAGTAATACAACAACTTTAGAATAACATCTAATTTTTGCTCTCTTTCTTTAAACGCAATATTTTGAAAAACAGTTATTGATCATATTCTTATTTGATTAAACCCACAGAATGACTGCTTACCTTGAATGTCTCCAGCGCGTCAAGGGCGAGGCGATACCCTTCTGGGGAGTAGACACACAGTGCGGACAACAGCTCGAACACCTGCTTCTTGACCATAGCGTTCGTCGTGTCCAGGGCTGTCAAAAGACATACACAGATGTAAAATACAAATTCTCCTCTAAATTCAAATATGTCTATACTTGGCTAAAGTATCTTACTGAGTGAGTATGGTTTACGCCACTTAGAGCACTATTCCAGAACATCACAGCGGAGGACACCAGAAATGAGTTCGTTTGTTGTTTAACGCCGCACTCAGCAATATTGCAGCAATATCACGGCGCTCGGTAAATAATTGAGTCTGGACCAGACAATCTATTGATAGATGTTGCAAACAGCGATCCATGTCTTCGTGTTTTCGAGCCTGACCACCCGATCCATTTGGTCGCCTCTAACGACAAGCATGGATGGACATCAGAAATGAGTTCGTTTGTTGTTTAACGCCGCACTCAGCAGTATTGCAGCAATATCACGGCGCTCGGTAAATAATCGAGTCTGGACCAGGCAATCCAGTGATAGATGTTGCAAACAGCGATCCATGTTTTCGTGTTACGAGGACACGATTTTAACCAAGTTACCGAGCCTGACCACCCGATCCACTTGGTCGCCTCTAACGACAAGCGTGGATGCTGGAGACCTATTCTAACCCGGAATTTCGCACTGAGATATATAATTATCGGATGGAACACTTGTAAACCATCAGGGACACGGGTGGCTCAGTGTATGTGTCACCTCTTTAATGCTCACACTACACCGAGATAATAGGCAGCGTCAAGTTACGATTTCAAAATTGACGTGTCTCAAGGTACAAACAGCAATCACAATGACAATTGAATTCTGAAACCGGAAAGTTATCTAACATAGCAGACAAACTGCCCAAACTAAGAGAAGTGAGTAAGGTTTTAGGCTTTTAGCAATATTCCAGCAATATCAGAACGGATGAGACCAGAAATGGGCTTCACACATTTTACCCATGTGGGGAATCGAACGCGGACCTTCGGCGTGTCGAGCGAACGCTTTAACCACTCCGCTACCCAACCTACCCCAAACTAAGAGGAAGTGATATTAAGCGGTGTCTGCCAACTGCTTGTAACTGCGATGCTCTTACTGATAATGAAATATTGATTTTAGCGCCCCCCAGACAACCGAGATAGATAGAGATTTGTCTTGTAGACAGTCCTTTGTCCAAATACAAATACAGATGTAAACCTCTGAATATCACCGGCAATAGCGTCTAGTATTAAGAGAATCCCACAGAAATTGATAAAAAAATTGGTGCTGATCGAAACTAGATCGTGCTCTCAATTGCCACAAATGACCTTTTCAGAAGGTTACATGCACCTCACTGGTGTACACATGTAGGTGAACAACCAGAGCAGGTTCCCGACAATGCATTCACATTGCGAAATGAATATATTTCGAGCATCTAGTATAAACTGCCCGGCAAAAGAAAGTATACGTCCATGTTTGATGGTGGCTAAAAATGAAACACAACAAGGAATGGTTATTCCATGATGGTATATTTCTTTCGGGTGTTTGTTTGTTTGTTTGTTGTTTAACGCCGCACTCAGCAATATTCCAGCTGTATGACGGCGGTCTGTAAATAATCGAATCTGGACCAGACAATCCGGTTTCGACAGCATGAGCATCGATCTACGCAATTGGGATAACATGACATGCATCAACCAAGTCAGCGAGCCAGACCACCCGATCCCGTTAGTCGCCTCTTGCGACAATCATGGGTTGCGGGAGACCAGTTCTGGCCCGGAATCTTCACGGGACTCTTACGGGTGTAATTGGTGTGTTTTGGACTTTTGGAGTTTGCAGTGTTTCGGCGACTGTTTTCAGCCTAGTGACATTTTGAAACGTTTGAAATGTTTTGGTCAATTCCAATTTTTAAGTGTATACTGTCTCTTGCCCGGCAGTTGAGAAGCTGTTGTCTATCCGCGATGTTATAAATGGAGTTTCTGTTTGTGCACATGATGTTATTGTACTTCTTCATGATAAACATCTACTTGGCTGCCTCTGAAACACAAGGTAAACGGTGTTCCAGCAGAGGGTGCGAAATCAGGAACCGCTTGAAGCGCTCGTTAAATCTGTATCTTAGTCAGTCACGGGGAGAGTCGTTGTGTCAGGTGAACCATCCAAGTCATTGCTTAGTTTCAGTTCATATGATAACAATGACTATTTTCGCCACAACGCTTAATGTAGTAGGACCGAGTATACAGCGTCTGCCCGGAGTGCAGCAGTCGGTGGTTCGATCACCGGCCACGTCATACTAAGGACTGGTCGGCTCGGAGTCGGCATCTGTGTCTGAATGAGGTATCCATGTTAATCTGCGGCACGGCATCTGGTACTTTAAAACCATCTTTGTAAGTGCAAACATCTTGAACGCGACGTTAAACCCCGTATCACCTCTATTAGGCTAGAGGGCATTACCACTAACTCTTATATAGGTATAGTTTGGTATATATACATAACACTGTATCATTGTACAGCGAAATCCCCACCCCCCCCCCCCACCCCCCACCCCCCACCACACACACACACACACACACACACACACACACACACACACATACACACACACACACACAAAAATCTACCCCATCCACGCAAAGGCTAAATGTAACTTTTAAAAAAATGGAAATATAATTATCAAGTGAAATCATTCTCTGTATTGAAATCCAGAGGTATTGCGACATATATGTCTAATAGTTTGAAACAATTGTTATCGTCAAAACACTGTAGCTATTCTACGAGAAGCAAGTAAATATTGACATATACACAACAACAAAACACATAACGTCATGGGTATCACAACACTAACATATACAACAACATGAATAGCTTCCTGTTGTCAAAACAAATTACTAATAAGTGTCACTGTGTCATTCTTCCCCTTGAGAAAACACACAAACACAGTTTTCATTCTCTTTGACAATACCTTCAGAGCATTGCTGAATAATTTAGTGCAAACGAAACGTTACTTTCAAATATGCTAATGTAATACCAGGCCATGCTCAGACAAGTGCTCTTTAGCTATGCATCGCATCTCCCACACAACCTCTCTACACCCTCGTCACGCTGTCTCAGCGAATGTGCGCCACGTGTTTCAGTCACATGCTTATTAATTAAATCATGAGGAATGATGTATTCACTGCACCGATAACAGATACCTTTGTTTCTTGTTTTATTTCCACGAACAAAAAAATATGTACTAATGGATGTTTGTCAGAAAAATCAAGAACGTCATTTTGTCTCTGACAACCACTGTTGCGCAATATGCAGCCTCTCGATTTAAAACCTGAGATACTCCGATGCTTTGATATTTAGTATTTTTTTAAGAAGAACACGAGTGTTAAAACTTTATCACGAATCACTGTCCACGTATCGAGGGCAGTCGTGAAATAACAACGTGACATACGATGCCCGACTCAAGGTCCCACTTAGCGCTGCAGCAGGTAGCATTACAAGCAGTGGGTGGGGTTTTATGGGTCTCGTGCCTCGAACTCAGACTTGCTGTCATCAGCGTTGAGTTGTTCGATGTGGTCGAACATTTGGGATCGCCAAATGTCAATAAGCGGTGCTTATAAAAACGTATCGATTTGTGAAAAAAATAGAATATCGACTACATAAAACATTTAGATAAAAATTATCGTTGAAGTAAGGTTTCTTGATCAAAGAGATGAATATTGAAATTCATATCTTAGAATAAAAATCCATATTTGGGCCACAACTATTCTATGAAATGTCCTTAATTGGACTATAAATAAAATAATTATATTCCGACACGCAGCAGTGTAATAACGTTTCAATGCCACAGTTTTCATATATGACCAGGTCACGAGATATACATACAGTGTTAACTTTGTGTCGGAACGACTAAGTGAATGTGTTATTGGATATGTCCGGCAGTCCGGTGGGGCGATATAGAGTTAAAGCTCTCAATGTGCTGTTCAATGCGCAGTGAACACAAGTGGAGTTGTCATATTAACACATTAATCATTGCAACATGACAACGGCCATGATCTTTGAAAATGTTATCATAAGGCAAGATTTATGAGTGATTTTAAGGGAATTGCTAAGCAGCTTCATGTTTACACCAACATACGTTTGTTTATATATTTATCAACAGCCGCTTGCGTAAGTGAGTGAGTGAGTGAGTGAGGGTTAATGCCGCTTTTAACATTATTCCAGTTATATCACGGCGTGTCAGCTTGATGTGGGAGGAAAGCCCGAAGTGATGCAGGTCTCAGACGTTTACCACTTCGGTGAAACCCACGAGCACGGTATGGTGCTGACAAACCTAGAAACATAATCGGGGCGAACCGGGATTCGAACCCATTTGCGCGAGTGAAGACATTTGCAAATTGATATCTGATGTGTGAAAATTTGTCCCGCGTATGCTGAATATGACAACCAATCAGAAATCGCTTATTTATAACATGATAGTCTGTTATCTAAAACTGACGTCGTCCTTTTGAATTATGTGATACCTCATGGATGCTCATGCTGTCAATCACTGGATTGTCTGGTCCAGATTCGATTATTTACAGACCACCGTCATATAGCTGGAATATTGCTGAGTGCGGCGTTAAACAACAAACAATCAAACAAACAAACACCCGAAAGAAATATACCATCATGGAATAACCATTCCTTGTTGTGTTTCATGTCTAGCCACCATCAAACATGGACGTATACTTTCTTTTGCCGGGCAGTTTATACTAGATGATCGAAATATATTCATTTCGCAATGTGAATGTATTGTCGGGAACCTGCTCTGGTTGTTCACCTACATGTCCACACCAGTGAGGTGAATGCAACCTTTATGTTGAAATGCTACACACTGTACGGTGCGCTTGCTTCTGAAAAGGTCATTTGTGGCAATCGAGAGCACGATCTAGTTTCAATCAGCACCAATTTTTTTTATCAATTTCTGTGGGATTCTCTAAATAATAGACGCTATTGCCGGTGATATTCAGAGGTTTACATCTGTATTTGTATTTGGACAAAAGACTGTCTACTAGTGCGGCGTTAAACAACAAACAAACAAACAAACAAACAACATCAAAGA